TACCACCCACACCACCCCCTCCCTCTCCCCCCATCCCCTCAATACCCAGCAGAAACTATTTTGCCCTTACTTCTAATTTTGTTGTAGAGAGAGTATAAGCAATAATAGGAAAGAACAAGGGTTTTTGCTGGTTGAGATAAGGATAGCTATACAGGGAGTTGACAGAATATCTTTTGGTTGTAGTGTTTTGAAATCTTCAATGAGTAGATGTCACAAGGGGTGATTTATGGAAACTGTCTCTAGGAACTAAGCTTGTATGCAAAAGAGATGTCACAAATAATTTCAGAGTAGTCAAAACATATCATGTAAAATTACTATTTTTAGTTAAGCACATTGGTTATACTTTCTCAAGGTTTTTAACCATAAAAATAATTTTCAAGTAAAAAAACATTTTTTTTTTGTGGAAATGCATGGGAGTGATGTTTGAACATGAGTTGTAAAAATTGCCATAAATAACTTGGCCATTTTAATTAGGGTAAATTTTAAATAACTGTACAGTACTTAGCCTAATATTTTGAAATGATTAATTAATGCTCTTGCATGCTTATTTGTATGATGAAGAAAAACATATTAAAATATTTTAAAGTGGAGGAAGAATGAATTTTAGCAGTGTTTGAAGAACATTTCTTCTAAATGAGAGAAGTGTTCTTTTTGAAGAATTAACCTAGAAGGTAACACACACGCACAGGAAATCAATGTGAGTCAATGCCCTGTATAGCTATCCTTATCTCCTTCCTATTATTGCTTATACTCTCTCTACAACAAAATTAGAAATAAGGGCAAAATAGTTTCTGCTGGGTATTGAGGGGGTGGGGAGAAAGGGAGGGGGTGGAGTGGGTGGTAAGGGAGGGGATGGGAGCAGAGGGGAGAAATGACCCAAGCCTTGTATGCACATATGAATAATAAAAGAAAAAAAATGAGAGAAGTGTTTCCTGAAATAATATGAAATATTTGTATGTTCCTTCATGTTTGTAATTACCTTGTGTTGGATGGATATTTTGAATATGAAGTGGGTACTCAAACACAATGGTGGACACAGCAGAGCCCCTTATCTTATGATGCATTGTCACAGGGAAAATACCCCCAGCATGATCTCCCACCATGCACTGCAGCACACTGTCATTGACCATAGTCACATTACACTGACTGTCACTTATCATCACTGAAATTCCCAAGATATCAATACCAAAGTTGGATCCACTGATCTCAATTTCAGTTCCTGGTGGACCTAAAAAAAAATAAAAGCAAATCATATCAGTACATATTTGAATTCTAATACTTGTCCATTCATTTAAAGATATACTTCTTTATTTTTGTACATAAAATAGTATCCAGTGTTTAAACCTAACAGGAATAATTGACATACATGCTGTATTATATACATTTTGGATATAATATAGACTACAGTCTATTTTATTGACACAAGTGATTTATCTTAATATTCATTGTTTGCCATTCCTTCTGTCCATTCCATTGAATTATACATACTAATTCAGGTGGATAGAGAAAGAATGAGGAAAGAAGAAGGAAGATATAGAGTTAGGAATTATGAATGTCTGAGCAGAGTAATGTGGGTAAGAGTATATTTGAAGAATGAGTCTTATTATTTTTTATATCCTATAGTTTTCTTCCCTGATATTAGAAATTATTCAAGAATGGACTGTATCTTTCTTCATTCAAATATTTTAAATAGCTATGATATGATAAACAAATGAGGATATGAAAATAATTTGGTGCAAGGTAGAAAATACACAAAGAAAGGAACTGATATGAAGACTTGTGGATGAGTGTTGGACATCAAGGTCAGGAATAAATGGACACAGAGAGGAAAATTTTAACCTCTCTGTTCCTTTGCTTCATTCTTTTGACAAATGTGCACCAAGGGTATTAAACATAGATCATCCAAATGAATGACCACCACTTAAACTTTAAATGTATAGACAGAAATATCTATGATTTGCTACAAATGCAAAATCCCCAAGTAATTTTTAATTTTAATCCAGGAAGTAACAAGAATCACCATATAATTGATAATAGTGAGGATTATCAAAATATAAATCATTTTATTTGTGAATCATTATCATAAAACTATAAATATTAATGAAGTATTTAATGTTAGGAATACTTTAAAGATACAAAGTAAAATTATTTTATAAATCTTAAAATTATAATTTTATTGGACATTTCACTTTTCAACTAGAACAGTATTTTTCTAAGGATGACCTACTGCCTTCCCCTTCATGAAATAAAACATCTCAGGTCTCATTTGTCTACAGACCTCTTACACTTTACAAACATTATTTTGAAAGAGATATTCAAAGAGAGAGGTGGAAAGAGAAGTGCTCCATGGAATTAAAGAAAAAATGTCATTACTTGTAATGACTCCAAATATATGGCTATGCCATTTCTATTGTTAACATTTGCTTCTAAATGAGCAGACTTAATGTATTAAAGAAAATTTTAATAGTAAACTTCTTGAAGCAGAGAATATATTTTACCCAAGACTAATACATTTCCCAGTGATATAAACTTTTAAAAAAGACGTTTTAAAGGCTAACATTTAAGTAATTCTTTATTCGATGTGCCATTCTAAGTTACATTTTATTAATGAAATTTTAAAAATTTTTACAAGATAGGTACTTGCATGTAGGAGAAAATTGATGTTTAAGGAAGAAAAAAAATCCAGAAAAACAAAACCTTGTTCAAAATGTCATCATTAGGAAGTAGAAGAACCAAGATTTGAACCCAAGCATCAAGGCTTTGCTGTTAACCATCACATTGCAGCTGCTTCTTCAGAATTCATTACATAGATGATAAGCATTCCAATAACTTGAGGATAATCAGAAGCAGTGGAGACCAGTAAAAAAAGGATCAAGAAGACATCTTAATCTATTCTTAGCTTAGAAAAATGTGTCACACTAAGTCATTAAGTAAATGTGATTTTATGATAATTTCTCCATCTGAGTGAGCTAATTAACGCCTTAAAAAGAATTTTCCTATATTAACAATAATCAATTCTCGTGTCATGGAAATAAAGTACTCTGGACAATTCTCAATGTTAGTAACTGCTTGCAACAGTAATGATGTAAATTACCCATGTTGATCTATAGATATTCATCTATTTCTTCCTAATGTGAAATTAAGCTCAAGATAATGGAGAGTCTGATCTTAAATAGAAGATGAAATTTGGCTAAAAATTTGTGAAAAATCATCACAAAATACAGACTACACAGATCTCACATATTAATATCCCATATATTAACTGGGTTAAGTAAAAGTGTAAAGCACATCTCAATAATTATTTATGAACACTATTGTAACTCTTTAGTAATGAACACTAATGATAATATGACATTCAGATGATTTTTAAAAGGCAGATAGATATTAGAGTACCTCTATTTGGGACAATTCCTCTGAGAAATGGAGTATCTTCCAGGGAGTATGCAAATGACAAAGGTGGGTAAGTGACATCATTAACCATTATCTTCAGATTGGCCACTCCACCTCTCCCTGCTGGAGTGCTGCAGTGGACCTCACTAGAGTTGATGAACATAATCTGACAAAGGTCATCCCCAACAGTGACTGTGGTATTGCCAGGATAGAAGCCATTGCCTGTGATCAATAATGTAGTTCCACCACCAACACTTCCAGATGTTGGTGAGACAGATGCTACTGCAGGGCTGCTGACAGTCAGGTTTCCCAGAGCTAAGCCTTTCCTCTGCACCACAACGCTGAGAGAATGAAATCCGGCAGGGAGAGGAGTCATAAGTACAGTGATGTTATTTTCATTAACATCTACTGCCTTGAACTGTTGATTTCCAATGAAAACAGAAATCTCCTCCAAAATAGTCCCAAAACCTTCTCCTTCAATAAGAACTTTTACAGGTCCTTTGATAGAGTTTGGGAAGATTCCTGTAATATAAGGAGTGATGCTTTCTAAGTATGAAAAGCTGCAGTTCCCCTGACATTGGGCAGGTACTCCATGTATTAGAAGATCTACCAGCACGTGCTGTTCTGGAGCAGGGGGTGTGTCACATTCAATGACTGTATAATTCACAGTTAGAACATTGCATGGGAGATGACGACCCATAAAGACTTCTACACCTACAGAGGACACTCCAAATCCAGAGCCTCGTATGGTCACTCTTGTCATTCCTGTAGTTGATCCTACATTTGGCAACACCACATCAATATTCGGCAAAAGGACAAATCGCCTGTCAAATTCATTAGACAGTGTGTTGATAGCTGCACCCAGGTTGTAGACAATCAAAGTGACAATTTCTCTGATGCCAACATCCATTGAGTTTTGAGGGTCAATATGACACATAATAGAATTATCACTACTTTCTTCTACCACACAGGGGTAGCTACCAACCGTAACCTGAAAGTGAAAGGTATATGAAATAAACAAGTAAATACATTGTTCCAGTCTGAACTGAAATTTTAAATTACAACTATAATTTCAAAAAACTAATTCTTTGAAAACTTAATTAATTTGGGAGCTGATTAAGACATGTTTTGAATTAACTTTAATACTAAATTATGATTGTTCATATATTATTCACAACAGCCAGAAAGTGAAAACAACTGACAAATGGATAAATAAAATATGCTATACCGTACACTGGAATATTATTCATCCATAAAAAGAAACACTAACACACGGATGAACACTGAAAACATTATGCTAAGTGAACATAACTGTTCACAAAGAACTATATATTATACAATTTTAATTATAAGAAATGTCTAGAATAGGGAAAACTATATCGGTAGAAAGTAGGTTAACCTTTGGGTTGGGACAGAAGGAGAAGTTAGGGGTGATGCCTAAGTATTTGGAAGTTTATTTTGGGGGTAATGAAAATGTTCTAAAGTTATTGCAGTCATGGATGCATAACTCTGTAAATATACTATTTTGTACATATTGAATTGTATGCTGTCAATGGGTGAATTGTATGGTATGTGAATAACATCTCATTAATCTGATAATATTAAATTATGAATTTATAGTCAAAATATCTTCCTTTTATTGAATATAAGACAGTCTTTATACTCTTACCTTATTAGCACATGCAAGATTACTGAAGCCATGTCCAGTAATCGTTATCAATTCATCTACTGTTCCGGCAGATGGAGTAATGTTGCTTATAGATGGTGAATCACAACTTGAAAGCTCAAAAAGCAATCTGTTTGAATTGTTAACACTGGTATTGTTCAGATCACACAGGGGTTCTGCTGCTAGGCAGCCTCCCACAGGGCTTCCCAAGTGCAAATTCTCAGATCCTCCTTTACACAAAAGAATTGCCTGTAAGTCTTGGATAATATTATAAACTAAGAACTATGTACAGACTACATTACTCTTTATTTTGATGGAGATAGCTTTAAATTCTGGTAAGCTTTTTTTATTATTATAAGAGGGTCCCAGACAGAAAAAAAGATATTAAAGACTTGGGCAAAGATGGCGCAATAAGGAAAGAAGAGCGAATATAAAATTAATTTATTTTATAATTTGTCCAAGGTCAGATCCCACAGGGAAAGTGAAACAATAACATCCCCTAACATTTTAATATATTTGGGGGCACATTCAGAATGTCAGAAGTTTTTCACATTACATCTTGCACACATGGGTTCTGGGAGACTGTCAAAAAGACATTAATATCATATTTATTCTCTAGAACAAGTTCCAGACTCAGAGCATTACAAACCTATTCAGACTTATGCTATAAGAGGCAGAAACAGGTTAGACTCAGTCATGTGACTCCTATTCTACAAAGGCCACTTGAACAACAGTTTCCAACTTTAACCATCTTACCCTGAGCATACATGGCTTCGGTGCTACCCACATAGAGATGCAGGGGAATGTGCCTGGTTTTCGCTGGCAAAACATTAATGACTCCTTGGAGGGAAATGGAGTGAGCCTCATCAACATACCCGCTGCTGTAGTAATGGATTCCAGGTGAAGTAAATCGGTAAGAAAATGAACCTGCCATAAACAAGATTGTACATAAAAAAAACCACACAAGCAATTAATGCATCTTTGAAATGGGGGTGGAGAAATTTGAAACAATCACTTAAAGGTATATGTAGGTGACAAGGCTCTTGTTTTTTATGTGTTTGACATTTCAACAGGAAGTAGTAAAGAAATGACTCTCTGGCTCTAAAAGAGATATCCTGTATAATGAAATTACATTCCAAGAAGACAAGATGCAGTGTTAGTTTTTTAGAAAACCATGGCAAGACTGACATAATTTACCAAAATTTAAAGAAAAAGTCAAAATGCAATGCAATTTTTTTAAAAAAACCTATTTGCATGTATAGAACAAATCAAGAAATCTAAAAGGCACATTTTACACTGAGCTGCCCTATAAGAAACATTGATTCTAAAGCTGATTCTAGTAAACAGAAATTCATCATTTGCTACCTACCAGATTGGTATGATTAAAACATATATTCCTATTTTCATTATATTTTGGTCAATTATCATGGTAACAATGACGCATCTAATATTAGAACTTACTTAAGTTTGTACGTTACTTTGCTTACACTCATTTATAATATTTTTATTATAGCTATAAAATGCACTTTATATATTTGTGTGCTTTATTTATGTAAACATTTTAAGTCTAAACAAAATGTTTTTCATTTCATCTTGGAAAAAGAGGTATGATGCAAAATTCAATAAAGTAGAAACATACCTGATAAAGATTTTTGCCTTCCATTCATAAATCCTTTTCCATCATAAATTGTACTTCCAAGACTGGAGACTGAGAAAACTCTGTATCCTATTCCCCTAAGAAATGGGCGTGTTTCCCAATACCAGACAACTGTGTCTCCCACAGACACGTTTAAGACTGATGGCGACCAAGCATAACCTAATCCATAAACTGGGAGCAACAGTGGAGGAATATTTTAAAAGGAAAAGGAATAATTTTCTTATTAACTTTGAAAACACTGTATTTTTATATAGTCACTAGTGAAAACAACTTTTTAATTAATGTTGTAAAATTCTGGTATGTACATAATTTGAGCACTTAAACAAAATAAACAGGAATAATAGACAGCAAGACAATGAGAAGATAAGGAAGAAATAACTAATGCAACTCCAAAAGTGATGATTAAGAGAAAACTTACAAAAAATTGGATGCTCAATAGATAAGTCATTCAGAAATATTAGTGGAATATTTTTTTTAAACTCTGGTAATTCTTTAGATATAAGAATTTTCTGAAGCATATAGGCATGCAAATATATATATATATTTATATATATATATATGTATACACATGTATTCAATTTTGACTTGAGTATTCATTTAGAAACCCATGGCTGAAAATAAATTACAGTAATTCAGGAGGTTCTATACTGTAACAAAACCAAATGGCTATTCCTAAGCATGGAACTTGTAAAGCCTAGCTTTCTAAACTCAAGTTTACACCCACTGACAACATGTATGTGATCTCCTATGTCAAGTGGAGACCATTGGCAAATTATAAAAGAAGTAATAACACTTGTTCTTTAAATAAATCAAAGAATAAAATAATTTAAAATAAAGTTAGTTTCAGGGTAGAGTAGTTTTCTTATTCATAATATATAAACGCTGGTTGGTACCTAAATCTTCCCCATTGTTGGTAATTCTGAATTCATTCCCCGTTGAATGAAGAATACATTTTATGACACTTTCAGATGATGATGTAACGTTACAAGGGAAGGAACCTAGAAAGAATAAGGTTGGACAAAGAAAACATTTTCTGAAATGTTTTTTGTGAACTATAAAGATGAAGTATCATTAGTAAACAGGCAAGACCCTGAGTCACTACTTGGGAAGCTGAGATCTAGAGAATGGCATTTCAAGGCCAGCCTGAGCAAAAATTTCAAGGGACCCCCATCTCAACCAATTGTATGGTTGTATGCACATGTCATCCCAGCTATGAGGGAGGCTGAGATTGGGAGGCCACGGTTCCAGCCCAGCCCAGTCCAAAACAGTTTCACAAGTCCCCATCTCAACGGAAAAAAGCTGTGCGTAGTGGTACACATCTGTCATCCCAGCTACAACAGGAATTCTAAAATAGGAGGATAGTTGGGGCCAACCTGGGCAAAAAGGGTTGGAGGTGTGGCTCAAGTTGTAAAGCTGCCTAGGAAGACTTGAGTTCAAACCCCAGTACCACAAAAAAGAGAACCAAAATAAAATCCTCTGTGTTATATGGAAGGATCTTTGAAACTTTACTTCTGATGGTAATTATATTTGTACTGGTTATTTTCAAAACATGACCTCTCTTTTGAGGTGTTCTATGCACATTAAATATATTACAATTATTTGTTAAAAAATCAAAGATTCTAAAGTAGTTATTCAATTTCTCTTTATCCCCTTAATTAAAAGACACTTAAGTTTTTTTACACTAATAGAAAAATAAAGATTTTGCATTGAGAATATTTGTGTAATAACTCAGCACAATAATGCTGAAAACGGTAACAACTCTCCTGTGAGAATGAAGGTCTTACCCAAGAGGACTGTATTCTCAGCTGGAATTGTGCTGAACCCAAAACCCATGATAGTGATTTCGGTCCCACCATACAAGGAGCCTCTCTGTGGAAACATGTGGGTCACTTCCAAAATATACTGTATCGAAGCATTTAACTTGTCTCTGAGAAAGAGAAAGGAATAGATTGTTCAATAAGCTTCCTTCCCACACATTCATAGTGCTGAACTGTGGCTAGGCTATGATTCTTTTAGGAAAAGGAAATCATTGAATATAAATTAAATTAGACATGGTTTTTTCAAGCTAGATATTCTGGCAATTATCACAGCCTCAATTTGATTGGATTGTATATGCTAATTATTTTGAAAATTAGGTTTTTGAAAATCTGATAGCAGAAGCATGTGAGATAGAAGATTTCACAATAATATGGAAAAATATGATTATGAGAACTGAGGACACAAGAAATATAAGAAAACCTTTAAAATATTTTAGATTTCATTAGGTTAAAATATAAAGACAGCTTTATCCATTAAAAATGAATAGCAATTAAATCCCACACATTATATAAGTAATACAATTTTGTACAATTAGATTTATCATTCTGTGCTTGTTGGAAACTTGTCAGGATTTTTCTTCCCACTATTTCAGGAAGAGAGTTTTTAATTTTCTTTGCTTTGTTACAGACAATATGCCTGCTGTCAAAATGTACAATGTCTCCCTGATCTGACAGAGTTGACTCCCACATTCCAGGTTCCCACCGTAACAGCACAGGCAGAACAATCCCACTGAGATCTGTGCTAACTTTCATTTAACTGCCTCATCATAAATGAACCGGAATTCCTCCAATTATCATGTAAGTACACATTTATATGGAGTAACTTCTACACATTATTGTTGTCCATCTAAAGCAGAAGCTAATACCTCTTACAGAACTCATATGAACTTCTTCCTGTGAACCTAAAGCAAAATGCAGTCCTGTGGCTATGATTACTGTCTCTCCTCTTCCTCCACCTCCTACAAGGGTTTCGCTTCACTGCAATCATCAATCCTTTCATTCTGACATCACCTTTATTTGCTTTTTTTTTTTTTTGCGGCTTTGCATATTGGGGCTTGAACTCAAGGCCTTTACCTTGAGCCACACCACTGGCCCTATTTTTGTGAAGGGTTTTTCAAGATAGGGTCTCATGAACTATTTGCCTGGGCTGGCTTCAAAATGCAACCCTCCTGATCTCTGCCTCCTGGGTAGCTGTGATTACAGGCATGAGCCACCATCACCAGCTATTTGCCTTCTTTTTAAGCACTACATTTGTTTCTTCTTTGTGTAAGTATTTCAAACCATTAACTTCCTCGTGTAATAGCTAACATTTTACTTTAACAAATAGTTTCAGGGAAAAAAATACTAAACCCCTACAGGAAATACAATTGGAGAAGGACTCTGCCTCTACTTTTACCTTTATTTGGCTGTTCCTACCCTTTTCCTGGCTTCAGAGTCCTTCCCTGTTCCTCAGGATATTAGCTTCCTGTATTACACACTCTACCTGGTACCTACTATTCAGTCTTTTTCAAATTTACAGTTAAGGTACAATACTGATGTAATTCTCTGTTTGAAATCTTTCTTTTTAAAATTTTTCTCTCCAGTGACATTATTAGCACCATTAATGCAAAGAACATGCTCTTGTTATTCCCTACTGTGAATCCAGCATCCTCTCTAAAAACTGTTTGATATTTCCTGAATAAATGAAAATCATGTGACCTACACACAAATCTAGCTGAACAGAGAATTTTACAACCTGATCTGAATAACACTGGTCTCAAAGACAAGTGTCATGTCAAACTTACTGAGATTTCTCAGAATCTTTTGCGAAAGGAGTTATGGAAAGGTAAAGAAAGAAATGACTATTTATTTTTTCCTATCCCAATTCTACTAGCCACATGTGTTCCACAACTCTGTTAAGCTTGTGGTCATGATCATACCTTGTGGATGCAAAACCCCAGTTTCTGACTTCTACACAGATATCATGTTTTCCAGGAGGCAACACGGGCAAAAGGCATCTAATATGTGTGAAGTTCCAGTGAAGAACCTGACAGGTTTTTCCTCCAACATACACCACCATGTTTTGTGCAAGTTCATTTCCAAAGTTATAACCCTTAATTGTTAAGTTAACATCACCTATTATTTTAAAAGAAAAAATTAATACAAATCTTCACTTTATTATCCAGCATGAGAGTTTCATATTAAATAAATCAACTAATTTCTCTTATTATTTATTTGAATTCAGAAAATTCAAACACTTTCAGAAGGAAAAAGAAAAACAATGAAAGATTTGATGGCTGCCACATAGAGATAAAATTCGTGTTTATTTCACGAGGAAAAAAGACAGCAAAGTTCTTTTTAAACAAACGGTATTTTTCTTCATATTGCACACGTTCAAAGTAAAATTATACATAGACTAATCTGTTAAAAAGAAAATCAAACTTGGGACTGGTTTCACTATAAGAAACAAAACTGTAGGAAAAACAGTTCTTTGAAAGACTTTCTAAAGTGGCTTCCATGTATATATTAAATGACTGATCTTTTTGAAATATTTCTTACCTAAAACTGTCCGTATTTTTGGACTAAAATCAGTTATAACTGGAGTTTGTAAGCAATTATAACTGAAAACATCCTTTGCTGTGGCTTGAATTCCATTGGTAAAAACTGAAATATCAACTGTACCCTCAATTCTCTGAAATAAGTGAGGAAAAAAGACAATTAGAAAATATTAAAGGTTTAGATATGGAAATCCAATGGCTGAAAAGAAATGGAATTGTTAAAAATAAATATGTGAAGTGTTTTTATTTCTAACATGGATTAAAGTCTATTTCAGATATTTAGAGATTTGTGGTATTAAATATAAATTATATGTTTGAATTCCAAGACAAAGGTATATGATAAAGTAGTTTTGTAGGTTTATGATTCATTTAAATACATCTATAGCATACTGGATTTTGAGGGCTCCACAACACAGTTGAGATGTTCTGGACAATTTGTTCTCAAATTGATAAAAGGTAAGATATTGAAAGCTTTTTTGCCTTTTATTCTCTTGAAATAGAGTCAAATCCAATTATCATTCTATTTCATTTACAAATTGCATCATTATACCTTTTTCATAATCTTAGACTAAAAGCTTGAACCCCCAAGAAAAATACTGGTTCTTTCACTGGTATAGCATCTATGTAGTATCCAACTAAGGAAAACCTTTTATCATTTGGTATTTCTTGAACACATGTTTAGCTGAATGTCCTAACTAAAAGCAAGTTTTAGTTTATCATATCCCCTAGATTCCCATCTCCATCATCAGTCCACACACACTCAAATTCATTTTTTCCTGTAAGTCACAACTACATATAACTTCCATTTACTCTACTACATTTTGGGGTTTTGACATCAGTGAGACACAATATCCATTGGAGAACTTCAGACTTTTTGTGAACAAAGTGATATTTCAACACATTTTAAAAATAAATTTCTTCTTAAATACTAAAAATTTCTAAATTTGTTTCCTGAATTTGTTAGACTATTTGGTAGTACTGAGTTTTTAAAAATCATCTTTTGGTAAACTTCATTCATGCTTAAGTGCAGATAAGATACTAACATTTTTATGGAGTTGTTTCCAACATACCTTCTCGTGTATCTTCACTTTGTATCTAATTCTATCATTTCAAGTAGAATGGATTATTTAATTAATATTGGTTTATGTGTCCTTTTTCATAATTTTTAAGTGTCTAGAATGTGGAGATAATATTTTATCTTGGGATATTAGCGCAAAGATGAAAAAGTAATTCTTAAAGATCACAATGGAAACAGAAGTTTGTAGAAAATATGTCACTTATTTAATCCTCTGCCCAGATGTCTCTTAATTCATAAGATTTAAGATTTATGGAAAAAATGACTGAAATAAGAGGCCTTACTTTTGGCGTTCTGCAGATTATTGTGCTTAAATCCCCTTCAATCACTTTGCAAGTTTCATTTCCAACTAAAACCTTCGAGCTTTCACTAAAGCCAAATCCAGATATAGTCAGAAGAGTACCACCTGTGTAGGAAAAACAAAGAAAAGAAAAGCAAAGAACAGATCAATCCTAACAAAGAGACTCTTTGTCAACATCTGACACATCATTTGAGACCTGTCCAGTCATCCAAAAGATGGACTGGCACCCATTGGAAATGTGTACAGCCATCACAACCACATGCACATTTGTGCTCTGAAACCTGAAACCATAGAGGAGTGGGGCTAAATGATTTATAGAAGTAACAGATTTGCAACCCACACTTGTTTGGGGGCATAATTAGCAACAGCTGCTATTTTCCACAGTGCCTTCTTCATCCTAATAAGAGATTACACTATTTCTATTTACTGGACCATTCCATGGATGGAAAGTGAGAGTGAATTAAGACTTTAATCAAATCCTAAATCCTGGTACCTCTAAATAAAAGAAAATCTAAGGAAAAACCTCAGTAAAATAAGAGTAAATTAAACATAAAAAAGCAAAAAAAGGTCAAAATCAAAGCACAAAATTCAAAACTAAGAATGATAAAAAACAAAGAAACCACGATGATATGAAGCAGGACAAGAAAAATGTGATTTTTTTTCTCTGAATTCCCTTCATCAGCCTTCCTTCACCCATTTGTTCCCAGAACTTTTTCTGGGTCAAGTAGCTCCATTAAGACTGTGGTTATAAATGGAGCAGCTGGTAAGCAGAATAATAACTAATAAATCTTATCTTGACATAATTAATGAGCTTGTTATAGAAACATGTAATAATTGATGATATTAATTCAATAACGTAAGATGTAAGCATAAGCAGTCACCCTGATTTGTGCTTCATAAGAAACAAAAGAATATTAGCCAGTCATGTACCATGTGTCTTCTAAAAGGAGACTCCTTTTGTTCTAGTGGAGGGAGCTTTGGGTTCTTTTCCCTTTGCCCTGTACTAGAAACAGCAACACTAGAAATTGAATTGGAGAAATGTGTAAGATTTTTCTCTGTTGAGAACTATTAACTATTACCTGCCAGGCTTCCAGATTTAGGCCAGATGTGTGAGATGTGACTCTGATAAACGAAGTGGAATCCCTCACCCTGTACATCCTGTGCTAGTCCAACATCAGCCATGGACACAGCAACTGGTGCATGTCCAGCACTTCCGTTCAAAATCTGGCACTTGATCTCATTTTCTGTGATAAAAAAAGAAGAAAATGAAAACTTATATTTTCTAAAATTAACCTTGGCTTTTACTTTTAGGCCCAAGTGTGATAATGGGAAGGGGTGAATCTTGGGGGCCTGGGGAATCTGTGCAAGCTACCTGATGCTATGAATCAGACATAAGTAAAGCAGTAATATAAACAATCTTCTCCTGATGCTACTGTGGCCAAAGGAGGCTACTCTCATAATTTCCAAAACCCTATTCTGTAATCAGGATTTATATTACTTATTCTAAAATTTCTGGTTCAACATATTGTGTCCAAAACTGAGTAAAATAATAGGTTCTATCAATAAAACTGAGTAAAAACTAAATGAAAACATTTTCTTCACTTTGTTTAGAATAGTCTATGCACACTGATAATACAGGTATAATATTGAGTATGTGACTTCAAAAATACATAGAAGATTAAAGAAATTTAAAGCAACATAAATGATTTCCAAAATGGATTTTCTTACACAATTCCAATCTGTTTAAATTAAGGGAAATGCCTAGGATTATGAAAGATAACTTTTAGGGAAATAAATAACTATAGCCTTCCCAATTTTAAGAATATGACTGTTAAATTCTGCATCACTGGAGAGAAATTCTGTTGGGCTAGAAGTCAGGAAATAAGGCCACATCCCCTGGCCACATGACTGATGCAGTATTGTCAAATATGGGCAGAAAAAGTGGGAGTGTGTCTCGGCAGTAGAACCTAGTATGCCAGAGGCCCTAGGTTCAATCTTTAGTAGAGGGAGAGGGGACCATGGGCACTGGAGTTACACTGAAAACATTTGTTTTGGTCCCAAAGACATACCAGCACAAGAGATCTTACGGAATCATTTTGCGAGAGAGAGAGAGAGAGAGAGAGAATTCAACTATTATGGGATAAAGACTCTGAGACACTAACAGTGAAATAATTAGCCCGTAGTCATCATCAAAAATAGAAAAGGTAAGGCATTATCTACACCAGGTTGCCAATTTCATGATTACATAGAATACACTACAGAATAATCATATCTGCACTCTTACTCTCTGAGAATCAGTGTCACAGTATTACATTAACACTGCTCTTTCCACTTTCTCTTGGAGAACAGTCATACTTCATAAATTTTCAAAGGACCTACCAGCCACAGAAAGAATAGAGCAACCTGTAGGTCCAACAGAAACTGATACATCTGAAGTAGGAGAAAATCCAGAGCCTACTATGGTTAAAATTGTGTTTTCTTCATAGGATCCTGAAAGTTATAAATTTAAATAACAACATTAAAATGACAAAATTAGAAACCATTGTTACAAAATCAGACATTTCTCAGAGAAGAATGTGCCTGTCTTCTAAAAGATATAAACAAGAAACCTATAAATAAGCAAGGAAGAAAGACACATTTACTTGGCAGTGGTATTTTTCCATTGAATCACTCTATATTGCTTCATATTTTGGATCTGTGTGTTTATATGTATTAATAAGAAAACTTATCTGATTAAAAATATGGAATGAGGTAAGGAAAGGGAAACTAATGTCATGAGAAAGTTAATCAGGTGTTTCTATGTGTATAGGATGTGGCATAGGGTAAGTGGTGTGAACACTTCTCATTTGAAAAGAAAATGATTCCTCTGTCTGTATGATATCCATCTTACAGTGCCTGGAATGGTCTCTGCTTACTTTTGTACCACAGCATCTTAAACTTAATGTTTTTTTGTTCATCCTTAAAAGTGTCCAGATTTGATTGGCAATGATTTATATGGTCGCTTAACTTACATAACACCACACACAATTATAGATTCCACATCGATTTAAATAGCTGAGAATGAAAAGCTAAAACATTTTAGAAATAAATATAATCAAATATCTTAATCATTTCAAGGCTGAGATAGATTTCTGGGTTTTTTATTTGTTTGGCTTTTTTTTTTGTTTGTTTGGTTTTGTTTTTGAGACAGGGTCTTGCTATGTAGCACAGACTGGCCTGGAATTCATGAGCCTCCTGCCTCAGCCTCCTGGGATTACAGGCATGTACCGCCATGTCAGGCAAGATGGATTTCTTAAATAAAACACCAAAAGCTATGGTTAACTATACAAGAAAAGATACATAAGTTATAGTAAATAAATGATTAAAATGTTTCCATAGAAAAGATACTAAACCAAACACAAGTAATACATGTGCAAAAGATTGGCAATCATAACATATAATAAGTAGTTACATGTTAATTAAAAAAGATCATCCAATACAAAGAAGATAAAGAATGTTAAGAAATTTGTGAAGAAGAAAGAATATGGATGTCCAAGAAACACACAAGAAGATGCTTATGTGTATTGCTATTCAGGGAATAGACAAATTAAAACAACAATAATTTCTTTCACCCAGCAGATTGACCAAAATTGTTGTCAAGAAAGTGGGGAATACAGTGCTCTCATTTCTGCTAGCAGTACAGCCACTTTGGAGAGCAAGCTGTTCATCTAGTATACTGAATACATAAATACCCAATTATTATTTAGCAATTCCATGTTTGGGCATATATCCTTAAAAGATTCTTACATATGTGAAGTATGGGGAATCTCAATATAATCTTATTTTTAAAACCAAAAAATTATAATAATCTAAATGTCTATCAATAGAGGGACAAATAAATTGGAACATTTAGGAAGAATTTTAAGGTGATAAATTAAATGTACATATGATCACATACATCTCAAAATGAATTATGAATGATAAAAGATAGAAAATGCTATTTACCTTTTAATATCTTATTCATAAGCTTTAAAAACATCAAATTACCATATGTGTGTTATATTCAAATGATATTAAAATAACATGGAAGAATACACAGAACTAATTACTGTGATTGCCTCTGGGGAGTTGTGTGGTAACTAGGACTAGGAATGAGGCTTTTCCTAAAATATTTTCTTTTTTAGTCTAATGATTGGAAATATGCATGACAAAAATGCTAACAGCTGTTAATTATCAGTGAAGAGAAAGTTTTTATAGCATTCTTTATAATCTCCACTATTTTAAAATTGATCATAATGTGACAAACATAAATCAGGTTATTTATTTGAGTAAGACATAATCTTCGGAAAGTTCCTATAACAATGGACATTCATCATAAAATTCCAGGATAGGTTCAAAAATAAAGTACCAAAATATTATAATCAAGTGTTCATCAAATTCTTATTCTTGAGATTTTGACCCTGCATAACACAAATTATAACAAAGTTAATACAATTACTATAAAAAGTCTGAAGAATATATAAACTATTTTAAAATTTTTAAATCTTTTGACAAGGGCAAGATAATAAAAAGTTAGTGGATGAAGTTTCTGACTAGCTACCAAGACTAAATATGTGATTATAGTATCTGAACTTATCTTACTGATTGAAAAACTCCTTTTTTTTCATTTTTTTAATTCATTTATTCACATGTGCATACACTGCTTGGGTCATTTCTCCACCCTGCCCCCATCCCCCACCTTCTCACCCCTCCCCTCCTCAGTTCCAAGCAGAACCTGTTCTGCCCTTATCACTAATTTTGTTGAAGAAAAGACATAAGCATAATAAGGAAGACAAAGCGTTTTTGTTAGTTGAGTTAAGGATATTTATTCATTTATAATCCTTATTTCTGCTATTTATTTCAATTCTTAGGAGTTCAGACAAAGCAGCATAATCATACTTTTTAAGCTATAACGTGCAATGAAGAAAAGGTATGATGTGTCTCCTAGACTACATTGATTTCTTGGCAATAATTTTCTCTTATTCTCAAATTGAGTACCCAATTTTCCTCTTTGAACCACAGCTGTCTTGCTACTAAACTTTTAATAGTAACTCCCCTAGAAGGATTCTCATATGATGAAATATTCCAATTAATACCTTAACTAGTCAAATAGAACAAAAATGCCTCAAAGTCACAGTGAAATTTTAGAGACTGATTATAACTGGTGAAACTAGACAATAGAAAGATTAGTAACTCTTTTATTTCAAAGGCTATACTTCAATATTTCAGTTTCATAGGCAATGTTTTTTCAAGATAAATAACTATTCTGTCTTCCCATAGCTTTATCTGATAATTCTTTCACTATGTTGAACTGTCTGCTTGCCTTAATTAGTGATACTGGGATGATATATTTAAAAAATAATTATCAGAGTTTAATTTTTCTAGCAATCCTCCACCATAACCCCTGCCCACACCCCAAGTTTAAAAAGCAGGAGGTTACCTTGTGAAGGCCTTGTGTCCAAAACTAGGGGAGTAGCTGTAGGATCCCATGTAAACCCACAGTCACCTGAACATTTAGCTGGAATTCCATTGATATAGACTTCAACCTTCAAGTAAAGAAACAGACTTAGTGAATACAGTCAGAGGAAGCATAGTTAGTAGGATAATTTATAGGATTCAGCAAGAATGGAATTTTACTTGTTTACTTGTTTGTTTATAAAAATTAGATATATTTTTCCGACTTTGACATTCCATTTATTCATTCATCTATCCATTCATTCATTCATGCAGCAAATGTGACTGCTATGTTTTTGGTACAGCTATAAATGTTAGAAAAATAGGAATTACAAGATTAAAGAAAACAGATGGCATCCCTGTTATCACCAACTTATGATTCTAGTAGGGGCAGGATAGAGAGTTGCATGATACAAAAATTTTTTAAAGTTAATGTATATTATGTCAAGAAGTTAATTTGTTACAAAGAAAAATAGAGGTTGCTCTTGGGACAGTGACTTAAACTCTTTACACTTTAATTTTCTCATCACTAAAATGGCAACATTGATAATTACTTCACAGACCTAAATGAAAGAATATATTTTCTAATTCTGAAAGAAGATCTTAAAAACCCATTATTTTATCAAAAGGAAATTAATTTTCCCAAGTCATAAAATAATATTCAGTTGATCAACTGTTAACACAAATATTCACTTGAAAATAGAGAAATCAACCCTTTGTTAACATATTACAAATTAGGTATGCATTTAAAATTATGAATGTTATGAAAAAATTTTCAAAAATACCTGTGGCTGTCGACTGGGTGTTTGAAGTAGATCTCCAAGTATGTGCTGTCTAAACAAACCACCTTCCTTTATCTTTGTAACTGTCATATTAACCTTTTCTCCAACAATGCTGGAATCATTAATCTATTTTTAAACAAAATGCTTTATTAGAACAGCTACAGTAAATAGAACCACACACTTTTTTTTTTACTTAAGAATGGGTAAAAGAAAATAAAACCCAAATCATGTTTAAAAAAATTCAGACTATCATAGTCACTTAGAAAAAAAAAAAGAGCCTCTTTAAAAATGAGAATGAAGTATTCAAGTGAAAATGCTTAATTAAAACATTATTTAAATGACTAAAATTAACTTGAAATTTTAAATTAGCAAAATAAATCAGAAGAAAATGAATTTTCTGTATTTGATTTTCTTAAAATGTCCTATGTTTTTTCTGAATATGACACTTTAATAATTGTTGAATAATTGAAAAAATTGAATCCTTTTCCACCTAAGAGTCAACTTTTTCTCTTAGCATTTTTCAACTCTTATTAACCTTTTTTGTCAGCTACTCTTGGAATTATATTCTCTTCCAATGGTAAAAATTAAACCAAATCAAGTCTATGTATATAATTTCAAAATTCTTCTGTTGATTTGGCAGCCTTCTGCCAAACAGAGGCTAGCAAAGAGATTAGTTGTTTCCATGCTGGGCCTTGTATAAACCAGAACAATGATGGTTAAAAAGAGGAGATTGATCAGGAAAGGCAGAAGAACATGGATGCACAGACACCAGCAGAGAAAACAGGAGGAACACCAGTCACCAGAGCTGTCTCACTTACAGAATTTTCTGATTCTAGTTCCAGGCATACAGTCTCTTAAAACAACCTCACATTTTTATGACTGTTAACTATCCATACTGACTTGTACTCTGTGTTTACATGCTTTTTTTTGTCTCCTACAACCCTACCTTCCTCACACAAAATGGTTTCATAAGTAGAGTTTTCCATTCTTTCCACCTGATGTTGTAGGCGTCTTCCCAGGTGAACATATGCGGGTTTACATAGGGCTACTTAGTACTTGTGTGAAGGTTATGTCACTTAAACAACCATTCTCCCACTGAAGAGATTTAGTGCTCTGGGTTTCTATTGTTACAAATAATACTGCAGTAATTACCATGGTGCTGATATAATTTCATCTGTGTATTGTTATTTCAGTAGGATGGAGTTATGTAAATGAAATTACTAAATCATAAGCTATCTATATTCAGATACTACCTAATCCTCCAAAAAAAGTGATACTAATTTACATTTTCACCAAGAATGCATGGGAAACACTGTTTCCTTCCACTTTCATCACTAGAAAGCACATTTTTCTGTGTTTGATTATTTGACCTTCCAGTTGCTTCTTGACTTCTCTCCTTCACATACTTCGGGGATGACCCTTCTCTAACTCTAACTTGGCAAAGGTAACTAGATAAGACCTGAAGGTATGACTCCTTTATGATCTTGAAAAGATCATCTTTATAACCACAAAATTATCCAAAGCCCCAGTACATAGCTATAGTGGCAGAATTGTTGGCAGTGACCCCTCCTTAAAGTATACCTGGATTTAGTTCTCAGACTGGCCTGGCATATATTCTTCCAGCTCCAAACACACATATTTCTGGGCTTTTTCCAGGTGGGACAGGGAAAAAAATACCAGCAGCTATTCTCCATGAAAAAGAACACCTGACCAACCTAATGTGCAACAATCTTCTCATGTTCAAATTCTTTTAAAACATTTTAGTCTATAGTTTGCATTTAAAAAATACATACTGTCACCAGTATGTATTTAGAATTGAAGCAATGTGCAAATAAGCAAGCACACAAAAGAAAACAGAAGTCAAGCCAAATGAGGGAACCTGTAGAAGATTCTGATTTCCACACAGGCTTCTCCACTTGATGCTCCATGAGTAACCAGCACAGTTTCCCTCTCTGGTAACTGAGACTTGTCCCACTTCATCCAAGCTCTGGAGAGCAAACTGCAAATCTGCAGCTGACACAGAAGCGGGGATGCCTGCATCACAGAGAGAGGGCAAACAGCAGGATGAAATAATTCACAAACAAAATCTCATCTTTCAAGCACACAAAGTGTGCACTATGAAGTATCACTTGGAAACAATACATCCTCCTCCAATATAGTGAAATTGAAATTTGTATCTTTCTTACGCCAAGAATGTATATATTTTTGGGAAACAAAAAGTAAATGAGTAATATACCTTAAACCATGTTCTTGGCTCAAATACTTTTATTTTAATGTCAGTTTACTCTATAGATAATCTATAAGCTATGGATGTAAAAGAGACCCTTTGGGAATGAAAACACACATCTGGTGAGACAGTGAAGAAAATATGCAAATGTCATTTGTTCTGGATGATTTACTTCTTGTTACTGACATAATTTCAGCTATATAAATTAGGTAGAGAAATACTATTAGAAACAAGTACACCATAATATCTAATTGATAAACATCATGAACTACATATAAAATTTCTAATTTTTCTTCTACTAGATGTATTTAAGAAGTAAAAGTAAACAAATATGATTACACTAATAATAAATTTTATATAATGAAATATATTTTAAATTTTTTTATTGTGCTGGGTGGGGGTGCATTGTGGCATTTACAAAAATTCTTACACAACACTAGGAATCTCTCTGTGTAGCTATCTTTATCTCAAAGTAGCAAAAACAGTATGTCTTTCTTATTATCTCTTATGTTTTCTCTTCAACAAAATCTGAGAAGAGCAGGGTGGAATAGGCTTTGCCCGGAAATGGGATGGGGGGAGGTAAAGGGAGGTGGCACAAACAATGTACACACATGTAAGTAAATGTAAAAACAATAAAATAAAAGGAGAAAAGAAAAAAATTAAAACAAAAAATAAATAAAATACACTCTGACTATAAAAAAATTCTTACAATATATCATATTTGAATTTATCCTCTCCATCATTCTCCTTTATCCTACCCTCCCCCATTCCTGGAACAGTTTCAACAGGTGTCATTTTTCCATTTACACACATGTGTACACAGTATTTGCATTATATTCACCTATAAAAGGAGGTGGGGAAAGGGTGTGGAAATTGTACCAACTCCCCTAGACAGGACCTGTTCTGCCCTCCTGTTCTTTGATTTTGGAAAAGAAAAAAATGACATTTTTGTTTGTTTAAGATTGTGACATTTCCATGTATATATTAAAATGTTATTTATTTCAAATTGCAAGTGCTTGGTGGCTGTAGGTGGTTCATGACTACCATGTTGGACAGCACAAATCTGGGTGATTCAATTAAAAGCTGTCTTTTACAATATTCAACTACAAGCTTTTATAATATTTTAATAGTACCATTATTACTTCTGGATACCATAGTAATTTTTGTCAAAAATATATGTATTGACCAAGCATGTTGGCTCAAGCCTGTAGTTCCAGCTATTTGAGAAGTGGAGATTGGAGGGCTGCAGTTCGAGGGCAGCCTGGGCAAAATGTTAACAAGATCCCATCTCAACCACTGACTGAATGCAGTAGGGTACACTTGTCATCCCAGCTATTCAGGAAGCACAAATAGGCTGGTCTGGCCATAAAGTGAGCCCTATCTTAAAAATAACCAACAAAAAAGGGTTGGTGGAGTTGCTCAAGTGGTAGAGTACCTGCCTAGCAAGCACAAAGCCCTGAACACAACTCCCAGTACCACTCCCCCCAAAAGAGAGCATTTATTATACAAAGATACAACTTATGAAAGTCACAATTTCAATCATTTTCAGAAAATGTGTATTAAGTGTTTGCTACATTTTATAGACTTTTTCTTATATTACCTTTACATAGAAATAATTATTACTAGTAGCTGGCTTTGGATTAGTAAGTTTTCTTATAATCTAGTAAAAGAAGGATTTTGAAATAAAATATTATGATTGGTTATTAATTTGGTATAATCTGGTGTATATAGATATGTGTGAATGTGTGAGTGCATATACAATAAGGAGTTGAAGTAGCATAACATTTTATAGATTATGCATACATATGTGTAGACCAATATTCTGAACATTTATATCCATTTGAGAATTTTGAAAATTTTTAAATATACCTTTGAGAATATGTCCATAAGCTTTAATATCAAAGCTGCCACTTATAGGTGGAGAAGCTTCTTGAATTCTTTGAATACGAATCTTTGACTCTCCTGGCCAATTAATTCCTCTGTAGACAGATTCATTCTCAGTCTCATTTGTGGTTATCTAATTTTCAAAATAAATATTGATAAAATGATTAAACCTAACAATAGCCAACATGATTTCTATTTTACTGTGGTACAGTCCTTGACATGACATAAATGAGCCTCATATATTCAGGACTCTTCAGGTCATTAAGGAGAGTCCCATAAATCAACATGGGCCATGCCCATACAGCTGCAATAATGAAGCCAATGTCAACTCAGTCATCTGTGCAGCAATCAACTGGAATCAAAGTAATACCTCATTAATTCAGGTTGGCCTCTCCAACACTCAAGGAACAAATATTTATCGAGAAGACACTCTACTGAAGGTACAAAGCCCATCACTGTGGGGAGACGAACAAGCATGAGATGCAATCTTTGCTATCAAAAATCCTAAAACCCTTTAGAGAAACAACCAACAATATAAGAAAGTCTGTTGTCAGCAGAGTGACTGACCCATGATCACTCGTTGCTTTTTAAATACTGAGGGCCAATCAGTTGACAGAAACAAGACATGCTAGGGAAATTAGCAGATTATAACTTTAATAGTGAAAATGATACCCTTCTGCTTCTTTAAGAGTTATCTGTTAATCTTGTAGAATTTATAACAATACAGGAATAAGTAACACAAGTGATAGAAATCATAGGCAAGAATGTCCATATCAATTTTATTCAAAATAGTTGCAAAATGCAATAATGCAAAAGTCCATTAACAGAATGGATAAATTATGGTGCATTTGTACCATGCAATAATGCACAGAAATGAAAAAGAACAAACCACAGCCACAGGCAACAACATGACTCTTTCAATACTTAATAAAGAAAACTAGACAAAAAAGAGTATGTAATTGTTTTGTTTTATTCATACTTTATTGTTGTACTGGGTGTAGGTACATTGTGGCATTTACAAAAGTTCAACGTTCTTACAACGTAGCAAATATATAATACTTGAATTCACCCCCTCCACTGCTTTTCTTGACTCCCTCTCCCCCCATTACTGGAATAGTTTCAACAGGTATCGTTTTTGTATTTACTTACGTGTGTACACAGTTTTTGCACTGTATTCACCCTCCCATATCCTTTCCCTACCATCTCCTCCCTCCAACTGGTACCAACCCTATCACCTGGGCAGGACCTGGTTCCATCCTCCTATTCTCCGATTTTGTAGAAGAAAAAAAAATTTTAATGACATTTTTGCTTGGTTGATGTACACTCTATACAAGAATGAATATAGAATCTTTAACCGGTTAAAACGACCATAAGAAAGGGACTAAAGTAGAACAAAAATAGAGGAGATGAACCAAATCAGGCTATAATATCCAACATGGATCTAGTATCAATTTTCTGCAGATTCCCAGTTTTCCAAGCAACATTTGTTGAAAAGGCTGTCTTTTCTCCATCGTATGATTTTGGTACCTTTGTCAAAAATTAGGTGGGCATAGCTGTGTAGATTCATATTTGGGTCTTCTATTCTGTTCCATTGATCTTCATGTCTGTTTTGTTGCCAGTACCAGGCTATTTTTATTGCTATGGCTCTGTAGTATAGTTTGAAGTTGGTTATTGTGATACCTCCAGCATTGCTCTTTTTGCTCAGTATTGCCTTGGCTGTTCACTGTCTTTTGTGCTTCCAATAAATTTTCGGTTGATTTTTCAATCTCTGTGATGAACGTCATTGGGATTTTGATGGGAATTGCATTGAATGTGTAGATTGCTTTTGGCAGTATAGACATGTTCACAATGTTGGTTCTACCAATCCATGAGCATGGGAGACCTTTCCACCTTCTGTACTCTTCTTGGACTTCTTTCTTCAGTGATTTGTAGTTCTCCTTGTAGAGATAATTCATGTCCTTTATTTATTACTAAGTATTTGATTTTCTTGGAGGCTATAATAAATAGAATTGATTTCCTATATTCTTTCTCAGTTTGTTCATTGTTGGTATATAGAAAGGCTACTAATTTGTGTAAATTGATTTTGTATCCTGCTACTTGCTGAAGCTGTGCATGGTGTCTAGGAGGTTTTTGGTGGAGTTTTTCGGGTCTGTTGGGTTTAAGATCATGTTGTCTACGAATAGGAAGTTTGACTTCTTCCTTACTTATTTGTATGCCATTTATTTCTTCTTTCTGTCTTGTTGCTCTGGCTAAGAATTCCAAGACTATGTTGAATAAGAGTAAAGAGGGTGGGCCCCCTTATCTCATTCCTGACTTTAGGGAAAGTGGTTTCAATTTTTCCCCATTAAGTATGATGTTGACTATAGGCTTGTCATAGATAGCCTTTATTATTTTATTGCTATGAAGTTTTTAAACAGGCAAAAGTAATCACTGGTGCTAGAAGTAAAATAGTAATTATCAAGGTGTGAGGGATGAGTATTCTAATATCAGGAAGGATATATGAGGAAAGTTCTTAGGGGCAGATGACTTTCTTTACCTTGATCTGGATAGTGACTATATAAAGGTACTTAAGAATTTTGTAAAAATTCATTGCATTCATCAAGGTTTAAGATGCAAGATGAGCAAACAATAGCCTACCACATTTCTAAACACAAATAATGAGCATGTGGAAACCAATATTTAAAAAATAAGACTGTATAAGTTGATTCAAAGAAAATTAAATACTTATACATAAATCTAGTAGAAAAAGCTCTGGATCTGATCTGAAAATTGGAAAATTTTGATAAAGGTAATCAAAGAAGACATAAATATTCTGGTTTTATAACAGCATAAGAAGACTCACATAAATGGTGAGACCTACTGCATTCACTGATTGGAAGACTCAACATAATAAATAAAATTCTCTTCACAGTAATCTGTAGGTTTAATGCAAGTCTTATCAAAAAAACAACAAGATACTCTTGTAGTCAGATGTAAGCTTTTTCTCAAATGTACATGAAAAAGACACAGGACATAGAATAAAGTACTTCTGCACAAGAAGAATAAAGTGAGAGAACTCACTGTACTCAATGTTAAGACTTACTGTACAGCTACAGTAATCAAGGGAGTTTGATACCAGTGAAAGAATAGACACACAAGAGAATGAATGCAACAGAGTAGATAATCCATAAGTACAACTACACAAATATGCCTGACTGACTTTTCAACAATGTACAAAAATAATTCAATAGAGGAAAGATAGTATTTTCAATAAATGATGTTAGAGAAACTAGAGTCATAGGCAAACAAATGAACTTCATCCTAGAAACACATTTACATAAAATTTAACTCAAAATGGATCATGGCCTTAAGAAAAAATGTAAATATATAAAACATTTAGAAAAAAATCTTTAGTAGCTACAGCTAAGCAAGAAAAAAAAACCCTCAGGTGTGAAACCAAAAGTAATACTCATAAAAGAAAAATATGCATTGGATTCCATCAAAACTAAGAATTTCTACTCTGTAAAATACCTTATAAAAAAGACAAAAAGACAAGATCAGTCTGGGAGAAAATATTTGTTAACCACATATCTGACAAAGGACTTGCATCTAGAGTATATAAAGAGCTTTAAAAACTCAATGATAATGAATAGGTAATTCAATTAGAAAATGGGCAAAAGATGTAAGCAGATGATATATGAGTAGTAAAGATGTCTAATATTGCTATCCATATGGAATCCAAATTAAACCAAAATGAGAGATCATTACATAACTTATCCAAATGACTAAAATGAAAAAAAATAGTGATAACACCTAATGCTGGAGAATTTGTGTATAAGCTGGTGGGAATGTAAAATTCCCATTCACTTTGGAAAATCGGTATGGTACTTTCTTAAAAATGATATATGTGCTTACCATATAACCCCTTAAATAGGCTGTTAGGTAAGTAACCTCCTGAATGAAAATGTATATCATAAAAAACCTGCAGATTAATGTTCACAGAAGCTTTAATCAAAATATCCCAAATAGGAAACAACTGAAATGCTCTTCAGTGGATAGGAGGGTAAACAAACCATCACAAATCTCTATACCTTTAAATACTCCTCAGCAATCAAAACTAAGTATGGATGCACACAACAACCTGGATGATCTCAAGGGAATTATTCTGAATGGAAAAAAAACCCAGCAATCTCAAAAGGTTGATACAAGGTTGATCCCATTTATGTAACATCGTTGAAATCACAAAATTATAGAAACAGAACAAAGTAGTTGTCAGATACAAAAGAGTATGGTAGGAAAATAGCTATGGATGTGGTTGTAGCTATAAATGGGTAACATGAAGGATACTTGTAAACTGTTCTGGTGGTAATATGATGAATTTACACACATGACAGAATTGTATAGAAACACATGCACACACGCACAAAATGAATGCATGTAAAACTGACAAAATGTGAATAAGGTAGGTTAGTGGATTGGATCAATGTCAATTTCCTAGTTGTCATGCTATACTTTATTGTACAAGAAGTTACCATTGGAGGAAAATGGATATAAGAATATATGTCTATTATTTCTTACAACTAAAAATGAATATGCAATTACCTCAAAACTAAAGTTCTAAAGATGATTCATGCACTTGTACTTTAAATGTGTATACATCACTGCATTTACACTTTATCTGAATTTTTTAAAAGGACACAAAAATTAAGTCCTATATACCCCAATTTAACTTTTAGTAAATAACTACAGCTAAAAGTAATTACCAATTATTAGTTTAATGAGGAATCTTGAAAAATGGAGAGTGTTGGCACAGATATTTTGAGAATCCAAAGCTCTGAGTTAGCACATTTTGTAGTAGTGCTAAAAGACTACAAGACATTAATCTTCAAGGCAGCAAGACCAAAACATTGAGCCAGGACTTGGTAAAGGCAATGTTTATGGGAATATTTCATTATCTTTAATTATAAAGTTATTTAGTTAGCAGAAAGTTCTCTGGGGATCTCTAATTACTAGAGTTAATTATTTAAACTTTAATATTCAACTTATTTATGCTTGTTTTAAATTTGTTGTAGGAAATGATATTAACTCATGGTATATTTTTATAGGAAATTAATTTTTAAATGATCATATTATTTGTAACATTTAATATTTTTCATATTAGAATGACTCAGGCAATATAAAACTTGTTCAGATTATTTTGGAATTATGGAAAACTGCATCATTTCTGTTTGTATAGATTTTGATAGACACAATTAAAATGTTTATAACAGAAAGAATTTTTAAACTTAATGCAGAGCCTCAACTTTTCTTCCAATAATTTCTGTTCAAGAATCTTTATTGGAAGAATGCAAAACATGTCCTTTAAAGTCAACAAGGAAAATTCTACTTAAATTTTACTATTTTGTTTCTTAAGGATATTTGTCCATCCCCCCCCCAAAGGTATATTTAATCGAAGAATATTTTAATGCTTAAAACCAATTTCCATGCTCAAGTTAAAAAATTCTCTAAATTATCATTTATCCTTAGAATAAGTCTCTTGTTCTAGTAAAAGATATTCAATCTGTGTAAGTTATTTTCAAAAATTAAGAAAATTCAGTACATCAAAACTAATGCTCATGAAAATAATAACTCATGAAATTTTAGTCTTACCTGCCCAAAACTTACAGCCATCATGGGTATATTATAACTGCAATTATATGAAGTCATAGTAACAGAATACTGAACTGTTAGAGTTGATCCATTTATTTTGGTCTGATTCACCCAAAAGTGCTTTAAAAATATTCCTTTATCTGCTAATGCTGGAAGTCTTCTCTTTGGCATTTCTAATGAACATAAGAAAGCAAAGAAAGTTGGAGATGAGATTGTAGTGCTTAATTTTTATTATTTTGCTATCACTTCTCATCTATGTAGTCTATTAACATGACAAGAAATAATGCTAAAGACTATCAAAAAGAAAGTTTTCGTTTATAGCACTGCTATCACTTAAGTCATAAAAGTTTTAGGTCAATCTTACTGAACAGATGTCAATGTCAGTTGCTTTTTATGAATAGCTCTCCCTCTTAACAGTTTATTTCTCAAAGATAAATAAAATGAAAAGTTTACCACAGTGTATTTATCAATAAGCAAAATCCAAGACTATAAAGCTAATTCTTGCTATGACTAGAAAGTTTACATTAAGGATCCATTTATTCTTAGAATAATCACCTTGCCTTCTTCATTAAAAAATAAAATTGTTATAATATTATTGAGGTGAAGAATGAATAAATAATATTTAGAGATCAATGTTTCTATGTCACAGAAGGTAAGAATTTCCCTGGTAGGATTTCACTATAACTGCAGAAGACTGAATTAAATATGAAAAGATATACATACCACTGAATGTTGAGATTGTAGATGTCTGTCCAATATATACTGCATCTACATAGAAGGACTGTGCCTCTGAGGCTTTCTGTAAACTAATCCTTTGAAGAGAAAAACTTGTCCCAGCATGTTTGGTTTGTATGAGATCCAGAAGATCTATGCAAGTGTAGGTCCAGCTGAAATATGGTTGATTAATTTAGTGTATAGTTAGTAATAAACAAATATACTATGAAAAGCATTAAATTTTTAAAGGGTAAAGGTTTTTTCTCCCACAAGAGACCATCAACCATAGTTTGTTAACACAGAAAAGTATCCATAAAAAAAAACAGTGCAGGCAGAAACTTACATTGGCAGTAAGATTTAAGTATAGGTTTTCTTTTCTTTGTTGCCTTGCCAGTAACCATAGGAATAAACAATAACATTCTGCAACATAAGGAAATTAAGGAGCACATACCCAGTGTAAAGAACATTAACAAATATAAGACAGAATAGAGCCAACTACTTTAGTTAAAAATGACAGAACACTCAGTTCAGACCAATGCTAAGAAACAAAACTGGAACTTAATACTTCTCAAAGAGCTCACTAGAGTAGTACTGCCCATTTTTTTAAGTGACAAAAAAAGTTCTAAGTCATTTAGAGATAACAAATTTTGGCATAGTATCTTTTAAATGTACAATTTAGAGGCTTATTTTCCATCAAATATTAACTATACTAGAATCTCATAAATTACAATTAAGCAATTTAGCTATAACAGTTTGTAACAAAGATAAATATTGCATTCATATATGTATATTTCAAGAACAATCTTTGTATCATTTACCACTGTGGTTATTAACTCACTGTTTTGTTTGGCACTTACTATTCTCATTTCTTCATGATTCATAAATCCATGAGATTAGCCAATAATGCATCAAAGTTTAGACAGTACATACCAGTTTTAGAAAGTTGCATGCAGAATTGCATTTAATGATAGTGCTTTTAAAAACAATACTTAGGACCTCTAAGTAGAATTCTACAATTCCATAACTACTGCTTACAAAAATCTGGCATACTGAAGAGAATACCAGATATATCATTTATAACAGAAAATGAGACTGCAAATAATGTTAAAACTTCAGTGAGCTGGACACTGTGCCTTTGTGGTTAGATAATTTCATTTTTAAAAGGGAAATCAGCCTACTTATTGGATTTTGAAATAATTTACCATACAAAAATCACCATTTTTAGGAAGTTATAGAACAATTCTTAGGGTAAATGGCACTTTTATCACTAACACTATACTGAAACAAACTAAAATTAACTTACTAAAACTACTTGATCTAGGTAGACTATCTAACCTACATACAAGCAAATATAGAAATATCCACTAAGAGCACAAGTATTTCTACCTTGACTGGTGATAGTTTTGATGGCAGAACTCTACACTTTTTAAAAATCATGATAATCTTGTTTAAAGGTCTTGCAACATTTAGGTTAAAATAAATCCATCAGTTCCATCAAATGTAATGCATCTTCAAATGACTACAGAAAAGATACGGTAACCATTATAGTTTAACTAACCTGAAAGAATGAAGTCTATAAAATGACCCAAGATGGTATCTCAGTGGAGAAGTGAAATTTATATAGATGGTGGGCATCAAAACTAAAATGGTGATTCCACTGTTGACTGCTCAACTAGGACATGCAGGGAATTGTTGTAGCAATGTCTATTTAAGAAGGACTATTTCATAATGATCCATCATTGGATCATTCATGAACTGAAGCAAATTGGGCAGAAGCAATGCTGTACAATATTCTATTAGTAGACTTTCCAAGCTCCTTGTCTTGACTCCTAGTTTTGTTTCTGCCTATGTGACTACCAACAGTGGGTAGCTGTGGCCTCTACTGAGTCTATTGTCCAGAAAAATGGCAGAATTATTCCCACTCTTTTCATTCATTCCAGGGTCTAACATTGGTCCCAAGTTTATATACTGGATTGAAATGTATAGTGGTTTCAAAGGCATCTATTCATATATTAGGGCATTAACTCCTTTATCAACAGTTTTCTCTCTCTCTCTCTCTCTCTCTCTCCCCTCCTCCCTCCCTCCCTCCCCCCTTTATCCCACCCTTCTCCTTGTCCTCTTCAACCAAATTGTTAGGGTGAAAATGGATTTGACTGCTTATTTTAAGAATTCATAACAACAAAATGAAAAGGTTCTGCCTGGAAGCGAGGAGGGATGGGGGGAGAGGGTGGGGGCAGTGGCAGGAGAAATGACCCAAACAGTATATGCACATGTGAATAAATGAATAATAATAGAAAAAAGAATTCATAAGAAAGTACAACCCCGGAGTACCCTGCACCTTTATCAGAGAACAATTTTGTATAGCTCTGTGCAAACACTGCCTATAGAACATACAGAAATCTTGCTCTTCTTTGAGAAGTTCAACCACCTCAAGTACTATCCAACTTCAAATCTGGTGAACTTTCTGTCTAACAAGAATTTTATTTCTTTACATCCTGTAGAAACATGTGTAGATCTCTTCCTGGGGCAAGACATAAATCATTATCTTTTTAACATTTACTTCAAGGATCCAAGGAGTATTAGTGGCAGAATTTGTGTGTCTCCTGAAGAATTATTTGCTGTTCTTAATGCCTTCATGAAAGATTTTCTCTCTGATAAACATCTGATACCCACACTTCAACTGTGATTTCTGCCCTTAGGCTAAAGAGATTCTGATACCAGCATTTAAACCTGGTCCATGGTTGATCTCATCTGAAGGGCATTAGGTCCATATGCTCAAGAAATGTTACCAGATACATACATCAAATATGATGCTTTATTTTGAAAACTGGAGACCATGACTTCCCTTCTTTCCTGAACATAAAGTCATCCCACTTCCACAGAGAGGAAGCCTAAGAGCACCTCTAAAGCTTTCATATAGGCACGTAGGCAGGGTTGTATCTATGGGCACCTATGTCTAGTCCAGATGGCTCTGACTATATGTTCTTACACACTTACCTGGTCCCATCTCCTGTCATTGTCCCAGTGAGCATATTTCATTATTCCTGGCAGAGCCCAGGAACTTAACTTCACCGGAATATCTCTGTGACCTACCCTTACTCTCTGCCACTCCACCATTTTGCCCAGTGAATGGGGGAGCCATTTAAAATGTTTTTTCAAAACCTTAACAAGCCAAGTGTGGTGGATCATGCTTGCAATCCTAGCACTTGGGAACTGCGGTGGGAGGTTCTCAATTTCAAGGCTAACCCAGGCAAAGTTAGCAGAACTCTATCCCAAAAACAAAATAAAAAGTGTGGACTAAGGGCATAATTCAAGTGGAAGAGTGTTTGCTTAGCAAATGGGAGGCACTGGGTTCAATCCCCAGTATCAAGAGGGAGACGAATAACCCCAAAACCTTTAACAAACAAGTTTCTTCTCCCAATCCAATATATTTAAATTAATTTTAGAGTATGCTCATTTCTATTGATATAAATTGGAAGATTGCTGCTGCATTTTGAAAATAATGTTGGGATGATGTAGAAACATCATGATCAAAATTGTAGCATTAAGGCAGCAGCTCTTATATTCAGAATCTTCACCTAGAAACCAATTTCTCTATCAAGACTATACTTTCCTCCCATTTAATTATCCTGCTCTTCCTTTTCATCTTGACTTTTAAAAGAATTTCATGTTTGTTTTGTCTTGTTCACGATTTTTATTTCCAACTTTGACCATTTTCTTCCGACCTCTCTCAGTGTTAAGAGGAGTTACTGGTCTACCTCACATTTGCTTCAAATATGACAGTTCAAAGTTATCAGAGACTCGTCCCTGTGATGAGAATAGAATAGTGCTCTCCATGTATTATAAAATGATGGAAACTTAAATGATATGTATTAAAGTATGACATAAGCTATATAAATCTATATAAAACAGAGAAGATTTTGATGTAGTTGTAACAGAAAAAAGATAATTTATACCATGACTTCCTTTGTGACATAAACTCCCTATGAAAGAAAAGAAAGTGACATGACTATATACATTTGTTAAAACTCACTAAAATGAGCACTTAAAGAGAATGAACTTAACTTTCTGTAAATTCTATTTCAAACAACAAAACTCAATTTTATTGGAAATACTTTGTAAAATAGAAAAGTGTGTGTATTCTTTATTATTTCTATTATAAATAAAATTTTGCACATATTGACTATGAAAACAAAAGGCCAGTACTTACAGAAACTTTTAAAGCTATAATAATTAATGAAAACCAAAAAATATCATTGAAGGTATGACAATTGTGGTCATTAAACAGGCTCATTAAATAGGTCATTCTCTGCATTCATTCAGTTACTTCCTTCATATTTCTCTATGTACACTTCTATGTGTCTAACCTTTAGCAAAGCAAGTATCAAAGTATTCTTTCTCTCTTCATACTGATATATTCATCAAAACATTTTATTTTCTCTGCTAACATAGCAAGCACATTTTTCAGTGTTAAAAATCTAATAACAAAATTGTGATAAGCTGATCTCTTTCTACCTTCTCTCAGTAGCTAGAAACATTATTGGATTTAATAATATATAATAATATATAGTTTAATTTCTAAAGTTTGCCATTGTTTTGTCTTTTAAATAGTTAATGGGTGGCAATGACACTAGATAAACTTTTACTTTCATAATCTATAGATCTCTTTCTGACACAATCACTTCTGTTAAGAATTGTGTGTAGAAACCAGAAAAATTATAGTTAGATCCATGTGAACAATTCCACTTCTCCCCAGAACAAAACACTAAAACCAAAAAACAAAACAACCGATAAGAAATGAGTTTCTTTATAGTCTACATTATAGTATAACTAATATGTGAAATAAGCCTGCCTCATAAAGACAAGTATTGTTTGTTTTCTCTTATTTGTGGAAGCTAGAATGAATCAAAACAAAGTCATAAACATAAAAGGGGGACTACAAGGTAGGAAACTGGGGAGAGCAAAGGAGACAAGAAAAGGGAGGAATAATAAAGAGTAATAGAGGGCATGAATTTGATCAAACTATACCAAATTCACATTTAGAAATGTCATCATGAAACCCCTTACTATTATGTCAAATTCATAATATAACTTACTTGTTTCCATAAGCAAAGTTATACGAAAATTGTATGTCAGTGCTTCTAGTAATCTTGCCATTGTCTTGGTACTGGAATTTTAGACCAATATAATTTGCCAGGAATCCTTTGTATGCTAAACAAAACTACATGAAAAAAAATCATAAATATTGAGTGTTTCCCTTTTACCAGAACATAGGAAAAGGAGTGATTAATTTCCATCAGTTAGCTTTGGGAAAAGAGTTGGGGAAGATTTTATAGAAGAGAAAGTGAAATTGAAGTGGTCTTACCACTAATGATTAAATTCTTTTTGGTTGGGAGGGTAGTACTGGGGTTTGAACTTAGGACCTTGTGTTTGCTAGACAAGTACTCTACCACTTGAACCATGCTCTCAGCCCTCGATTCTTTATTTTCTTAGATATGGTTTCCTTTAAAAATGGGAACACTTCATTCCCTATGAAGATGAACTAAATACTCTTAACTTTTATTTGCAAGTAATTTCTTCTAAAATTATGAACTAAAGCAGAACACATGGTGCTAGATAATTTTTTCTTTCTCTTCCTCTCTCTCTCTCAACATTTTAAGTTGAGAATCACCAGAAGAGAAAATCACAAAAGCACCCAGAATGTGAACCACTATGCCTGTCCAACATGACATGATTTCACATGACAAGCACTTCTCTTTGTCATAAAATTTCATGAAATTTTATTATCAAAGTGTTTTCCAGATTCAATTAGCATATAATTTTCTTGAGCTTACCTGATTATAAGGAAATAATAAAATGTCTCCATATGGTAGTTTGTTTGGGTTAACATCTGCTGAGTCAAAAAGAACAGCTGGGTTTTTCAGGGTGTAACGACCACAGTAAGCATCAGTTTCAGCAGTCTTCTGCCCTCTATTACTATATTCCTACAGAAACAACACGTCACATGAAAACATGACTTATTGTCTTGCTTTTCTCCTAATATCCCCAACTAAGTTGTTCAGGTCTAACTCAAAGCATTGTTTCCCAAACTACTTTCACTTAAAATGTCCTTTCCCTTCTCTAAAATTCTAAAGTTCTTATTCGGACCCAGAATTATATAATGCCTATACCTATATTTGATTATTTCTCAATTCTTATTTTTTTCTTTCTGTATTTTGAGCTATTTAAGGATATTTATTAATTTTTTCAATGAATGTTTATTCTGTGTTTTTTCTATGTACCCAGTTTTTATTTAATCTTTAGAATTCAAATGATGAAGAAAAACTATCTCTATATAAAGGGGGCCACTAGTTTGGAACAAAAGAATCAAAAATTATAATATTAAGGCTGAAGAGAGGCATCTAATTCATATGAAAGTGTCAAGCAAAATGACATGGAATAAGTAATGAGTGAGTTGTCTTTAAAGATAACAGGATTTGTGTAAATAGAAAAAAAGAAAGCCAAGGGTCTTTATAGGGTAAAATATGTGCAAGAAAGCAGAGTCTTTGGAATAAGAATTAGTAAGTATATTTTCAATTTTTTTCTTTCTGCTGCATATTAAATAAAAATCTTTATATCTCCTGAGGAAAGAAAGAACGAGGCATTGTACTAATTGACCAGAGGTAATCTCAAAAAGCAAAGAAAGCAATATACTGCATCATTTCCATACAAATTGCATTCTTTGAAGCCAGTGAGGAAAAAGGATATGCTTTTCATCCACGTGAAGAAAACACACAAACAAAAACTCTGTCAACCTTACATCTATACATTAGCCTATTTCCTACTGATCAAATAGTCACTCATGTTCACAAATGAATCATTTTGTAATGTGAAAAGATGTTGGAAGAGGTTATACCATTTAATCTATAGAAAAAAATTTTTTTGCAATTTGACTTAGAATAAGAAAAGAATGAATGCTAGCTCAAAAAGAAATCATAAAATTCTAAACATTTATATGAATTCTTATTTGGTCACTTTCAATGTTTGTTAAACATTCCATACCAGGTCAAAATCAGTTTCATAGTCTCTGAAGTATTTCACAACAAATCCTTCTTCAAAGTGTGCAATTTGTGGTGGGCACTTAGTGCTCACCATTTCTTCCACTGCTGCCTGGAACTAAATTAACAATATGTACTTTAGCAACTTCCTTTTCATGAAGACTTAAAACATTAGTAATTTTACTATTAATTCTAATTATTTTTCTAATGGAACATTTTCATAAGATAATTCCCATACGTTTGCCAAAATTATGATATCATTTCCTAAATGATTTGAAGTTAACACATCATCATTTTAGTGTTCATTAATTTTTTTAAGAGTTTTATTTTAGGGCTGGTGGAGTTGCTCAAGGTTAGAATGTCTGCCCAGCAAGTGTGAGACTCTGATTCCAAACCCCAGTACTGCCACAAAAAAAAAATAACAAAGACAATTGTTATCTCCAATTAGCTATTAATATGATTTAAAAACTGTATTCCAATGTACTTTACTTCTCAAAAGAAGAAATGTATATTCTGTAAGTCTGTATTTATGATTATCTAAAAGATAAATAATTCTTGAATATACAGGAATTGCATAATATGCTCATGAATTTCCTATAACTTCCACATGTATTTCTCTGGCAAAGCACAGATATAGTTGCTTGGGAGTAAGGACTTGAGACAATGTATAGTTTTTAATTATCAAACAAGCAGTAACACACTCATTGCACAGACAGTTTTCAAGATTCAGTGCATACATTCTTTCTTTAAGAACATCTGCCTCCCACACAGACACATTATGTTCTGTTGACATAAATCCAAGAACTCCCTTTTCCCTCTCTGTCGTATTTCCTCCCTTCTCTCCTCATTGTGGGTTGGCCTGCCAAATAGAAGAATGCATTGATACTTCTTGAAATATTTAAATGGTATGTTTAAATGGTCTTCTATTTAATAAAATAACAAGATATCTAAACTTTGTATTTAAACCTTTACTATACTATGTCTCTCAAGGATTTTCTGACTTTGACATGATGAAAAAATGGATTTTGGATAAAAACAATTCCAGGGTGGATTGAGGGACATGAAGGCTCTATGTAAAAGCAAAGCAAGGCTCTGACAACTTCGAGACACTTTGTTTAAAAAATGAGTGGTGATGCTAGATGGTCTCCGTGTCCTCTTTAAGATATAAAGATTTATGATAAAAACGTTTTGGTAAATTGATCAAGTGCTAAATGATTTGTAGTATACTCTGGCTTCTCTTCAGTTTATATAAATCTTTCACCTTTTACTAAACAATTAGAGTGAGTTTGAGAAGTGATATCACTTTCTCATCTGTCTGTAAATGGCCAGTGAATACTGTGGGATATTGTGAAAGGATGCAGAGAAAATGCAGAGTAGGAACATTCCTGGATCATACTTCAGCTTCTGATGACCTTGTGGTAAGGGGCTTAGAAGCAATTCCATCCCAGTTCAGTGTGAATGTTTCCATATTGGGTTTTCCTTTAGTTTGTTCTGTAATATCCAGTGTGACATTATTCCCCTCAAATACTTCATAACCAAGCAGATCAAAGTCTCCTGCAATGAAATACCAAATAGAATTTTAAGAAGATAATTAATAAAATACCAATATGTCTATAGTAGACATTCAATTGCAAATAAATAGGCTTTACTTGGAGCTTCATTAACATTAAAGAAGGATGAATGGAAAAGAAGACCCTTTTATCTGAATAGATTTATTCACAGCAAAAATAACAAAAGAACAGTGTAAATGCTATTGACTTGGATTCTGTTTCTATTGCTTAAAAGACAAGAAGGATGTAATAGGACCATGAGATAAAGGTCAATGCTCAATGTGAGATTACAAAAAATATTTTAGCTTTGTGCCAATGTTATTATTTTAGTACAAAGGTATTGGTTGGGATATTGCTGTTTTTATTGGATGGAATAGAGAACAGGCTGATTTCCAGAAAACAGTCTAGACCTCTGAGGCTTGTTCATACAATATCACTCTGAGAGAAAGAAGGCCTTGTCCTCAGATGTTTCTCCCCTTTAGAAGAATGCTCTGCCAATGAAATCCCACTGATCATCTCTATTGGGTGTAGTCTTATAATGCATCCAGTTATGATTGTCACCATTAAAGCCTCCAAACTTCTGTATGATCAATAAGTAGTTCAACAAGGATAATCTCACATTCATTTATAGTTTTTTGACGAACTAGCTCTTGTGAATTTTTAGAACTTCAGCTCATGCTAAAAAAAATTCATCTTTCATTCAACAATCAAATTAATAATTTCACAAAATAAAAGACATAAACATTGAAGTAATATTTTACTTACAAGAACTGGAAAATAATTGTCAAAAAAACACACATACAAGAACCTACTTTATACTAAATAGCCAAATTGGCTTCTATACTCGACTTAAAGGTTTACTATCTACCTCAGTGTTTCCAAAAATGTCTGTATAAAAGAGGAAATGTTTTGCTTATGAATTTGACTACAGAGTTCTTCCTTTAGTCAAGATTTGGCTGAATTGCTACTGTCTACTGAACAGATGTACCATTTTACCATTTTAACTTTTTTTTTTTTTTTTTGGTGGTACTGGGGTTTGAACTCAGGGCCTCTTGCTTACTAGACAGGTGTTCTACCACTTGAGCCATGTCCACAGCCTCCTTTTCTTTGGAGGGGGGAGACTGGGGTTTGAACTTTTGAACTCAGGGATTTGTGCTTGCAAAACAGACACTCCACATCTCCAGTCACACATTGGAGTTGTACATTCCTTAAAGTATACTTACAATTTAAATTACTATAGAAAAAAAATTTAATTTTTATTTCTCCTGAAATTGATCAAGGCTATAAATCTAATTATTTTCCTCTGTTATTTTATAAACTTTGATCTTTTATAGTAGAGATGTACCAGACAGCACTGGACACAAATTTGGTTCCCCAGAGAGGTAGAAAATGAAATATAAGCTTACCTCTAGTTGATATAAAGGTTATTGTGTAGATATAGCTCTGGTGATTCTGCATTCTTGTTACTTGAACTGTATCCGGTTTTATAGACCAAAGGTCATTTAAAGCTGATTGCAATATGAAGTCAGAAGCATCAGCAGGTAGCCAGACTTTTGAGTGAATTAAAAAAGAAAAGCAGAGGAAATGAAATCTTTCTAGACTACTTCAGCCAAAGTTGATGTCTTACACTTTGGAGTGAGCTGTTTCTCTCACTCCTTTGTTGTTACTGAATCTAACTGGGCTTAAGTGGGCGGTGATGGGAGATGCAGAAAAGACACAGGATAGACAGACAGACAGAAAGTTGGGGCCAGGTGTGTTGGGTGCTCAGGTGGAGATGCACTACCCTCATTGCTTTTTTTCTCTGTTATTCTCTTCATTTTACTCTGCTTCTTTTCTCTATCTTTATTCTTTAAGGCCTTACTCCTTTACAGTTCTACAGTTCTTTAAAACCTTGCTTCTAACGTCTTCTTTAAAACCTTGCTTCACTATTCTTTAAAACCTCTTTCCTTAGACTTGCTCTGCCCCTTGTTTTCTCTTAGCTTTTCTTTAGCATAATCTCTCTTAAAGTCTTTGTCCCCAGACTTGCACTGTCCATTTTCTCTCTTTAGCATTCTTAAAGTCTCAGCCCTCAGACTTGCTAGCAATTCCCCTTTAGCAATTCTCCTTCAGCAATTCTTTTCCCTTCAGCAATCTCCCTCCAGCACTTTCCCTTCAGCAATTCACTTCCCCCCTTCAGCAATCCTTTTCCCTTCAACAATTCTTTTCCCTTCCAAAGCCTCCCACATCAAAAAGCCAGAAGCCCAAAGCCCCGAAACCAAAAGCAAAAGCCTCAAGCAAAAAGCCCAAAGCAAAAAGCCCAAAGCAAAAGCCCTACAGCAAAAAGCCTCAAAGCAAAAGCTTCCCATCCTCCTTCAGTGAGTCTTTTATATCCAGTGGTATACAGGGTGGAGCAGTGGTTCTTGGGGAGGGGTGTGACGTTGTAACAGGAGAAACCTGCGTTCCTGCTTTTCTGAATATAAACAACTTAGGAGAAGCAGTTGTTTTGCATTTTCCTCTTCTGTGGTTGAGGCTGTGCCAATCTCAGCCTACAGATAAACATCTTAGGAAAAAAAGCTGAGCTGCACCTCGCCTTGCTTATGTACAGTTCTCATAGTTTTCTCATAATCCACTCTCCACAATACTTAGCTTTTTAAAGCACTCATTCTCAGTGCCACTGAAGCTATCATGTAGAGAAATTATATTCTGCGATTTATTTAAGCTTGGTAATACTGACTATTTAATTGGTTTGTGAAAAAAACAAGATAGCATTTGATGTCCTCAATGCAAAGGAACTAATGCAGAAATTTTAAAGTGACAAAGGCCAATAGAAGAAGGGGACCAGGAACCAGAGAAAAGGTTAGTTTGAGAAGAATTAACTTAGAAGGTAACACACATGCACAGGATATCAATGTGAGTCAGCTCCCTGTATAGCTATCCTTATTTCAACTAGCAAAAACCCTTGGTCCTTCCTATTATTGCTTATACTCTCTTTCCAACAAAATTAGAGATAAGGGCAAAATAGTTTCTGCCTGGTAGTGAGGGGGTAGTAAGGGAGAGGGAGAGGGTAGGGGTAAGGGAGGGGGTGGGGGTAAGGGGGGGAGAAATTACCCAAACATTGTTGCAGAGATGAATAAAATAAATAAATTTTTTTTTAAAAGACATCTGGTCAACCACAATTGACATGTCCAAAGTTTAGACTTCCCAGCTTTATGGTGAATCACAATGCTTTGATTTTTTTCTCAAGCTAGCCTACCATGGGTTTCTATTCCCTACATTAAAGTGAAAAAAAAATAATTGGTTTGTGATACCTTTGATGGTAGATATCATATTTTAGTATTCTAACATTATTTTATAACTTAATACTATTTTATTATTACCATAGCAATAAGCATTATAGTTAGCAAATAATAATTACTTAATAATATTTAACACTTTAAACAGGAATAGAATAATTATTTTTAAGATTTAATATTAAATATTGAAATATGTTGCTATTAATTAATAAATTAACCTTGTGTGGGTCTACCACTTAATTAGAGATATTGAAACGCATGTTTACTTCTTTGCAATGATGGATTTGATTCATAGTTTCTGAACTTACACTTGTGAGTCACAGGTATATAAAGTCTTTATGTCCTTTTAAATATATACTTATCATTATTATTAGAGGGAAAATGATGGCATATGCCAGAAAGTTATTTGTACTGATGCTGTTTTTATTTTTAATTGCATTCTGAAGCCTTTTTGTCACATTATATTTTTCCCCTTCTGTATGTGGCATACTATTTAAACTATATTTTACACACAATATCTTTGGACTAGAGCAAATACTTTATAGCTATATCTATACATAAACAGAAATATCTCCCTAATCATTTATAACTTACCAGTTTTTTCCATGTCATATACTAATCTGTACTGGTCATGTGGACATGAATTGGCTTCCACACATGGGCTGGTTACTGTCATCTTCTGAATTTCATTAGTTGCATTAGTTGTTTCCCAGTTTTCCAATGTTATAACCTATATTCCAATTTAAGAAAACAAATATTTAATATGTGGAAAAAACATTTTCAAAGCATCATAATTTAACTACTCAAGACCTCTTTATTTCTTTAATTTATTAAAAAGAAGAAAATGATATTTTTAAAGTACTTAAAATTTGTCTTCTTAAGTAATATCCTGTTTAGTTTATAACACAGATGTGCCAAGCCACAACCCAGCAATTGTCCATCACTGCATTCCCCTAAAACATTTTACATAGTGAAATTAATAATTAAATGGATCTTCTGTCTTGAGATATTTCTTTTTTCAAGGGGAGGGGTTACTGGGTATTGAACCCAGAGTCTCCGAAATGCTAGGCAAGCACTCTATCACTGACTACACCATCAGCCCTGGAAATTTACTTTTGATAAGGTGGATCTATCATCACAACAAACCTGTACTTCCTGAATGGTTGTTGACTGGGACTGGATGACTTGTTCTTCATTCATTGCATCTCCTGTTTGCTGTTCAGTATAGACATTTCTGTACTGGTATAGTCCTACATCAACAAAAGCACTCAATCTATACTCCTGCAGCAAGATTTCAATATAATACCTGGAAAACAGAGTAATCAATATAATTTCTCTCCAGAACACTTGTGATGACTTTTTCAATAAATAAAATATTAACATTATGTATAAAATCTATTAAATTATTTACATTGCACAAATGTGAAGCTTACATAATTTATTTTAAATATTAAATATTATAGTTGTATGGAAGTTTGTGAAATAAAATGAATTATGTAAGATATGTGAATTAGCAGAGAATTGTTCCCATTCATGGCCAATTCATTTAGCTTAGTTGATAAATATTTACTGAAGATACTATCCCCTATTCTCAAGGAACTTAAACAGAATACCATCCTAGATTGCAGTAATAGCTCCTTGGAATCTGGCACAGAGGATGTGAAGATGTTAAACAATTTAGTATGTTCACCAAAATGATAGGCAAAACTCCTTGATGTGATTTGGATCTTATATGTTCCCCAAAGGACAATATGTTAAATGTTTGATCACCAGCCTGTGGCACTATTGGGAGGTGGGTAGAACTTTTAGGTAGTGGGACCTCATAGAAGGAAGTCATTGGAAGCATGCCCTTGAAAGAGATATTGGGACTCCTTCCCTCTTCATTCCCCTTCCCCACCTCTCCTCTCCCCTCCCTTCATCTCTCCTCCTCCTCCTCCTCTTCCTCATTCTTCTTCTTTCCTCCTCTTCCTCCTCCTTCTTCTTCTCCTTCTTCTTCTTCTTCTCTCTCCCTCCCTCCCTCCCTCCAGTTGCTGCCATGAGGTGAACTGTCTTCCTCTATTATCTACTCCCTACTGTGATGGGGTGTGCCACCACAGCCCCAAAGAATAGGACCTACTGACTATAGACTGAAACCTCTAAAACCATGAACCAAAATAGACCTGTCTTCCTTATAAGTTGATTATCTCAAGTATCATCACAGCAACAGAAAGCTGACATCGTCCCATTCTCTAATTTCTTAAAGTTGGCTCCATTTACAATTTGGAGAATATACCATTTCCTCAGGACATTTTTACTGATTAGACTATGGCCTTCTAATGAGATGGGTTAGATTCACAACTCATACTTGGAATTCTTTATTTTTGAGAACCCTTATCATCTAACAATCTATCTAAACTAAGGCATTCACTGCCAGCTGTTATAGATGAGTGTAAAACTACTTCCCCATGTTAATCTTTAGTACTGCCACCATTGTGCCATCTTTGGAGATGCCACATGGATATTCCTCTAAATTATCTATTAGCCAAGAATAGGTTTATGGATGACTGAATGTGGGAAGGACATAGGGGTATATGGCTGAGATCTTGGGACTCTGGACAGTTCACCCTGTTAAAACTGATATTGGAGGATTATATCAGTCTCTAAACTACCTTAAGAACTTGTTCACTACCTGTGCTGAATGGAGGTGACCTAGATTAATTAAGGAACAGTACCCAAAGAAGAAACATTAAATTCTCCTTCCTTAATTGCAGCTTAAACTATTAATTAGTCATTTTCTAATCACGAGACACTAAGCATAGTATTTTAATTTAATTCTCAAAGATCCCACAAATACTTTATTATTATTATCATCATTCTTATTGTCTTTATGGAAATGATCAACAGAGGCCAAAAGAATTTTAAAAATTTAAAGATTTTTTTAAAAAAAAATATAGTTACCAAGGTAAGTTTCAAAGCAGAAGTAGGTAAACAAAAAAGACAAGCACTTAAGGATGAAATTATATTATACTGACAGTATGAATTGACATAGGAACTCCTTTCAAAGGCTCTGCCATAAATATTTTTAAATGGCCTCAATTCTAGAATTCACAGCAATCATTGTTAATTGAATGTAGTGTGTAAATTCCAAGTTTGTTTTGCAGGAGCAAAGATACCAAGAAACAGCTAAATATTATTAGTAATGGCTTTAATTCAAGCACTGTGCTCCTACCAAGCAAATAAACTAAACTTGTTTTCCAAGACCAAGCCAAAGTCTGAACCTGTATGGACACTTTCAGTAGGGATTAATCAGGCACTCATCCTGAATGGCCCAGTTGTGGTCTTGGTTAAAAATGAAAATGTTTATGAAGTAAAAGCAGAGAAGGAGGAAGAAAATAATGGGATGCTTTTCCTAGGAAATCACTAAGACCTCAATAAGAATATTATAATTGTTCCCAGATTCCATCAATTCCAAGGTTCTCCAACCTACCAAACCTTCATTGTGCTGCCTTCGAATATAATCTTCTCAATATCTGGAAGATTGATGTGTAGATTGGAAAAATATTCCTCCCATCAAAAATTGATCTGGGCTTTGGCCAATGGGGATATTAGCAAATGTGACAGAAGCAGAGTGTGGGTGCATTAGGAATTGCTCTCTTTACTTCTGGGAACACATCCATCAATGTGACTACTTTCCTGGAAGATAGGAAACCATGTGGAATGGTGTGCTCCACATAACTAAGTTCTAGTCATGCCAGCTAAGCCTCTGGATATGCAAGGGAGGTCCTCCTAGACCATCACCACAACTAAACTAGTTAGGACCAAAACAGCTGCTCAGTCAACCACAAAATTGTGTGAAATTAACACATATGTTGTTTAAAGCTACTACTAACACCTAGATTAATTTGTTATGTAATAAACCCTAGCAGTACAAATAAAAACTAGGATATGATCTCAATGCATCTTTTGATGTTCTCCATGTAACTTAAACATTTTGAATATATCATATGTTTTATCTTTCTGTTTTCTAGGAATCCTGAATGGCTTTTTGAATGGGATTATCTGCTATTTCATTGGCTTTCTGGAATTGACCCTTCAGCACTGGATGATGGACTCTTTAATGGTAGGGATTACATTTTCATATCCTTTGTATCTGTGAATAACAAATATGCATTACAGTGGAACCTATCCACATGGTTTGTGATTTTTCTCTAGTCATATATAAGAACTGAACTATTGGAAAAGACAAATTAATAAACTGAGAGACCAAAAAGTCATAAAAATAATGACAATAAAGATGAAGTAAAAATTGCACAGAATTACAATTTCTGCAATAAAATAATTTAAATTTCAAATTTACCTGGTTAACTATTAGTAATCTTGAAAATATAAAAACAAATTTTAATAAATGTGGAATGCTCAAATATAAATTAATTCAATGAAAACAAGTTAAAATATTTAAAATATAAGCTTATCATTTAACAATACCACACAGTAACTTAAAGAAAAAAAAGCCTTACTTTTTTCCTTTTTGAAGATGAATATCATCTGATCTCTGTGTTGGACTGGAAAAATAGCTGTTGGCATTGGCAGAATGATATGCAATCCTCACCTTATTCCAGAAACACAGAGGAAGAAAGGATACTTTTTAATAAGACTTCTTAACATTAATTTATCATTTTTGTCAGTCATAGAAGTTTTATAACAGAAGATTGTAAAACTCCTTCATAGTTTTCTCTGAAACCTGTTATCCATGATGATATGGAATTTTTTTAAATTACCAAAGCACTTTTTATTCATTCCACCCTTCACTATACCAACCATGACACCCACTGTAGAGCATAGTGTTTCCCTACAGCTGTAGGGAAAAATAAAGAGATAAACACTGGGGTTTTGATTGTTATTAAATAAACATTCTTCTGCTCTGCAGAGAAAGTTTAGAGATTTGTTCTAACTTAGATTATTAAATGTAGCCATGAAAGTTGCCAAAGTTTTGTAACTGGTTCTGCATACCTGAGTGAGAGGACTTTGGGTTTACTCTTTTTTTTTAATTGTTGTGCTGGTGTGGGTACATTGGAGTATTTGCAAAAGTTCTTACAATGTAGCAAATATATCATACTTGAATTCACCCCCTCTGCTGCTCGCTTTCATCTCCCCTCCCCGGAGTACTGGAATAAATATTATTTTTGCATTTATTCAAGTGTGTATACATTATTGCATCACTTCCTCCACCCCACCGTGCAGAACCTGTTCCACCCTCCTGCTCTCCAAATTTGTTGAAGAAAAAACACAAAAGATAATAAGAAAAACATGGCATTTTTGCTACTTCAAGATGAGGATAGCTATACAGGGAGATTCCTTGTGTTGTATCTATACATATGTGTATTACAACACAAATGGATTCATTTCTACCAGACCGCTTCACAACTCACTAGTCCCATTCTCATAGTGGCTTCTGCCAGTTTAAGATTACTATATTTGTTCTTATACAGTGAGCACATCAACCACATCAGGTTTTTGGTTTCTTTCCCTTGCCCTTTCCCTTCTGTATGTGGTCTCCCCTTAGTGTGACCCGTGTCCTATATTATTGCTGCTTTTTTTTGGTGTATAATCTGCATATAAGGGAGAACATGAAAAAAATAGATCTGCCATATGATCCAGCAATACCACTCCTAGGGACATACCCAAAGGAATGTGACTGAGGTAACTACAAAGGCACCTGCACACCCATGTTTATTGCAGCACTATTCATAATAGCCAAGCTATGAAAACAGCCAAGATGGCCCCTACTGATGAATGGATTAAGAAAATGTGGTATTTATACACAATGGAATTTTACTCAGCCACAAAGAACAATAAAATTTTGTCATTCACAGGTAAATGGATGGAACTGGAGTTTGAGCTTTCTATTAGAAATTTTCTATTAAAATTATGCTATTTTTTGAGTTAGCATGCTGACAAGATATGGTAAATCAAAATTCATAAATTATAAGCAGCAATTCAAACCTATGTAACCAATTTGGGAAGCAATCTTGTCATGTAAGTTGAGTCATAAAACATGGTATTGATTTGATCTATGAATTTCACATTTGTGAAATTGTCCCAAGGAAATAGTGCAAAATACAAAAAAATCTAAAGAACACAGATTTTCAGTAGAATTTTATTTGTAATCATAAAAAATCAGAAGTGAAAAACTATGGGCTGGGGGAGTGGCTCAAGTGGTAGAGCACCTGCCTAGTAAGTATGTGGCCCTGAGTTCAAATCGCAGTACTGCCAATATATATATGGACATACATACATACATATGTATGTATGTATATATATATATACACATATATGTATGTATGCATATTTTATACATAAACACTTAGTAGGAGATAGTTAAGCTTGATAAACATATGTAATAGTATACTAGTCAGTATTAAAATTTCATTATATTTGGTATTTAATTGTAATATGTGACAAAGGATAATTATGAATTCAGATGTATGATCCTATTTATGTAAAAACTGAAATTGAGTTTATAAGGAAAAGACAGACTTTCATAACTAAATAAATGTAGAAGAGTGAAATATTTTAATTCTTTTCCAAATTTCCCTTATTGTGGCTATAATCCTTTCATAATAAAAAAAACCCTTCCATTTTAAAATAAATTTATGTTTTTCCTTGGCAGAGAACATTTAGATATGGAAAATTTAGACTTTGAGTTTTCTATAACTTTATAGTTCATATCACAAGTATTAAAATAACCAAGAGCCTAATCACATCAAGTCATTTCTCATAAATTCCTTAACATATTCATTGATCTTGATTTAGGATAAGTTAGATATTTATGATGCTCATCATCTTCCTTCTATCAAATAGCATTCTGTAGCTTCCCTACCTTATCTTCTGGATCTCCAGTCTGGCTGAAATAAATAGCATAACGATCATCACCTCTGATGTAGAATCTATAAATATCAGAATCTGGAGCCACCAAAAATCCACTGAAGCGAGCAACAAATGTGTCTTGTTCCATGGGCCAAATATAGGAAGCTGAATCTACCCAACTGGCACCCATGTACCCTGGAGTTTTTTCATTGTATTCAAGTATCTCTTCAAGATGTACTGGCCTGCTGTTATTCCATACCTCAAGCTTTAGGCCTCTCCCACCTGAATAAAATCAGAGAATCTGTTCATTAGAATCATGACAGTCTTCTGTTGGGTGGTGGCTATAGAGGGTCTATGTCAATTCACATTTTTACAGTATATCTATAATAAAATCACTATAAAAAATAAAATGAGTACACATAGCCCTACATATATCTGTTCCCAGAGGACAGAGTGCTGTTAGGGCCATCTACGATTTATTTATTATTACTTTATTTCTCTTAGCCTTGGTTTCCACACATTTAAATGGTGTTATAATATCATCCCCATGGTTTCTGTGAAGATTACATATATTATATATATAAAACATCTGGCACTTTTTAAGTACTTTATGTAAAATAATAGTTCATAATAATTAATGTATTACATATGCTATGACTGAGGTGTCATTTACTGAAATCAAAACTTCAAAATTCAGATCATTTAATTACAAAATTTTTGCCTGTGTTTTTCTCTCTAATAAAGTTATTTGATTAACGGCTTACAAAACAAGACATTGTTGGCTTTAAGAGTTCTCTCAGTATTTATTTTTCTCTCTTTTTTTTCTTCTCTTTAACATTGCCTCTGTGCTAAGATTTCATCTTCTTTGACAGAATCAAAGATAAAGTACTCTCAATAAAGTGTACCTACACTTGCTAGTATAAACTCTGTGATTAAGTTTTTCTTAATCAGAAAAGAATTGTCACATTCTTTTCTTTTCTTTTTTCTTAAAATGCTCAGCCTCTAGGTCAATGCCTCCTTTCAACAGCTTCATGCTTGTTTGAATCTGGAAATAATGGCTACTCCTTTTCAGCTGAATTTGATTGGAGAAAAACTTAAGCAAGTCAACTTTCACAGTAGCAGTGCTTTCATTATATATGCTTTTCTCAAGAGTTATCAATTATAAACATCAAAATTATTTTTTTTATTGTGCTGGGTGGGGGTTGTGGCATATAAAAAGTTTTTACACTATATCAAATATATCATACTTGAATTTACTCCCTTCACCATTCTCCTTTATCCCCTTCCCCATTCCTGGTCAAAATTATTTTCTTAAGCTGGTAACTTTTTTCTAACATTTAAACAAATTTAAGAGGTTGATAAATAGAATTTTTTATGCTTCAAATACCAAGAACACATTATAAACAGACATCACTGTGTGCGCAAGTGATAAAATCCACACCATGCTCAAACACAACAAAACATTTCAAAGGAGCCAGTGTATATATGAAGGTCATCCACTGAAATTTCACTGGGCCACAGGGGAAAGTATGAGAGAATTCTGAGTTGCATTGCTTTCCTCTGTTTCTCTATCAAATTATTCTAGACAAGTAAGGATTTAAACCCCTTCACAATTTACTTTTTTTCCCACCAGGATAGTGTATTTAAGTTTTTGTCAGCTGTGCCAAGATTTAATCATCATAATTGAATTTAAAATAAGAGCACCAGGGAGCATCAACCAGAATCCTGAACCCCTAGCCCATGGAAAGCCTCCACACATGATGCTGCACTGAGAAAAGTTGGTGCCATTTCTCCCTGCCACCACCGCCACTGCTGCTGCCAACTCCAAACCTGCCTGCATATCAACTGACAGAAGGAATAGACACACTTTCCCTTCTACACACTCACCACTTGCTGACCAACCTACTGTGCCAACTTTATAAAACCCCCAACCCCCTGCAATCCCTGACACAAGCACCATACACTACAACAGAAATACACCCAAATACATATAGAGGCCACAAAACTCAGCTGCCCCCACATCACTTCCTCTACTCACCCTTCCCGCCTCCCCTTTTAGTGCCACCCTAACCAATTTCCCAAATTTCTATAGCTAGCCTAACAAACATTAACCCCCCAACTCCCACTGTTTATAGAAAATACCACCAAGGGGTTGTCTTTATAATATATAAACAACTGGTCAGGTATTGAACCTGTGAATTAGTTATTACTAAATTACACCTCCAGGGCAGGGACAGAAATAGCACACCAACCTAGCTAATATCCAATACAGTCACAACACAAAAAATTAAATCAAGGGAAAGAAAACAGGTGATAAAACCACCAACTTGCCTATCAAAAACATAGTTGCACAGTAGCAAGTGAAGTGATGGGAAGAAGAGGGGATGGAAACCACTCTCCTCAAAAAAATAATTTAATACAGGATTCAGAGGGCAATAAAGAAAACAGATACCCAGTTCCTGACCCCAACAAAACAATGTTAAATGACACTAAGGAACCCAGCAATGCCCACAAAAACACCCTCAAAGAAGAAATCTTGTAAGAAATCACAGAGAATTTCATGGAGAAGATACTAGACATGGTTAACCAAAATGTACAAGTTGCACTCAAGAAATTTCAAGACATCAAAAATAAAGAACATGAGAAGACACAGAAACAAATAAATGAACTCAGAGGTGCCCTAAATAAACACCAAAGTGAAACAGAGGACACTGTAAATAGAGAAATAAATGAATTAAAGATGAAAATAGAAAATATTGAAGAGGAAGTGACCAAAGATATGGAAAAACCTCAGAAAAAAGAATCAAACAGAAACACAAAACACAGTGGAAGGCTACTCCAGCAGACTAAAACAAGTGGAAGACAGAATCTTAGAACTCAAAGATAAAATAGAAATTAAAGAAAAAGCTGAAGAAATGTTAGTCAAACAACTCAAGAGCTGTGAAGGGAATATGCAAGAACTCACTGACTCCATCAAAAGACCAAACCTGAAAATCATGGGTATTGAAGAAAAAGCAGAAGTCCAAGCAAAAGGGATTCATAATCTATTCAATAAAATAATAACTGAAAATTTCCCAACTCTTGAGAAAGTTTTTTGCCATTCAAGTACAGGAAGCCTCCAGAACACCAAACATACTTGACCAAACTAGAACCTCCCCACGGCATATTATCATTAAAACAACAAGCACAGAGAATAGAGAAAGAATACTGAAGGCTGTAAGAGAGGAAAAAACAAATAATATATAAAAGTAAACCCATCAAAATCCACCAGGTTTCTCAATGGAAACCATAAAAGCAAGAAGGCACAGAGAGAGGTATTTTGGACACTGAATGAAAATAACTTCAACCCTAGGATACTCTACCCAGCAAAACTATCATTCAAAATTGATGAAGCAATAAAAATCTTCCATTAATCAGCAGAAACTCAAACAGTATATTACCACCAAGCCACAATCACAAAAGATTCTCCAAAGAATTCTGCACACAGAAGATGAAAACAAATAAAACCACAAAAGGATAGGTAGTATCAAATCACAGGAGAAGAAAAGACAAGGAATCAGAGAATAGCATTGATTCAGTTGCACACAATCAAGCCCTTAAACAACAAAAACAGCTAAATGGCAGGAGTCATCACATACCTATCAATATTAACACTGAATGTCAACGGACTAAAAATCCCCATCAAAAGACACTGTTTGCCAAACTGGATTAAAAAGGATGATCCAACAATCTGTTGTTTACAGGAAACCCACCTCATTGACAGAAACAAGCATTGACTTAAGGGTGAAGGCTGGAAGAAGATTTACCAAGCCAATGGCTCCAAAAACAGGCAGGAGTAGCAATACTTATATCTGACAAAGTAGATTTTAAACTTACATTGATCCAATGAGATAAAGAAGGACACTTCATACTAATAAAAGGGGAAATACACCAAAAAGAAATAACAATTGTCAACCTATATGCACCCAACGTCAGTGCACCCAACTTCATCAAACATACTCTAAAGCACTTAAAAGCACATATAGACTCCAACATGTGGTAGTGGGAGACTTTAATACCCCCATCACCAATAGATAGGTCATCCAAACAAAAAATCAATAAACAAATTCTAGAACTAAATTACACCATAGATTGAATGAACCTAGCTGATAGCTACAGAATATTTCATCCAACTTCTGCACAATATACATTCCTCTCAACAGGCCATGGAACTTTCTTCAAAATTTATCATATCTTAGGGCACAAAGCAAGCTTTAGCAAATATAAGACAACAGAAATAATCACCTGCATTCTATCTGATCACAATGCATTAAAACTAGAACTCAACAACAAAAACAACAGTAAAAAACATGCAAACAATTGGAAGCTGAATAACATATTGTTCAATGATCAGTGGGTCATAGATGAAATAAAAAAGGAAATTAAAAGACTCCTGGAAGTTAACGAAAATCAAAACACATCCTACCAAAACCTATGGGACACAGCAAAGGCAGTCCTAAGAAGAAAGTTTGTAGCCATGAGTGCATATATTAAAAGGACAGAAAGATCTCAAATCAAAGACCTAATGCTACATCTCAACCTCCTAGAAAAACAAGAACAAGCAAAACCCAAATCAAGCAGAAGGAGAGAAATAATAAAGATAAGGGCTAAAATTAATGAAATAGAGACCAAAAATACACCATACAAAGAATCAATGAAACAAAAAGCTGGTTCTTTGAAAAAAATAAACAAGATTGACAAACCCTTGGCAAATCTGACTAAAATGAGTAGGAAAAAGACCCAAATAAGTAAAATCAGAAACACAAAAGGGGAAGATAACTATAGACATCAAGGAAATCCAGGGAATCATCAGAGACTACTTTGAGAGCATATATTCTAATAAATTTGAAAATCTTGAAGAAATGGACAGATTTCTAGATACTTATGGCCAGCCAAAATTGAGCCAAAAGGATATTAGTCACCTGAATAGATCTATAACACGAAATGAAATTGAAGCAACAATAAAGAGTCTTCCAAAAAAGAAAAGTCCAGGACCTGATGGATTCTCTGCTGAATTCTATCATGCTTTTAATAAAGAACTAATACCAACTTTCCTTAAACTTTTCCACGAAATACAAAGGGAAGGAACACTGCCTAACTCATTCTATGAAGCTAGTACTACACTCATCTTAAAACCAGACAAAGACACATCCAAAAAGGAGAACGATAGGCCAATCTCCTTAATGGACATCGATGCAAAAATCCTCAATAAAATAATGGCAAACCGAATTCAACAACACATCAAAAAGATCATTCACCACGACCAAGTCAGCTTCATTCCAGGGTTGCAGGGGTGGTTCAACATATGCAAATCTATAAATGTAATGCAGCACATTAATAAAGGCAAAGACAAAAACCACTTGATCATCTCAATAGATGCAGAAAAAGCCTTTGATAAGATCCAACGCCACTTCATGATAAAAGCTCTAAGAAAACTAGGAATAGAAGGAATGTACCTCAACATTATAAAGGCTATGTATGACAAACCTATAGCCAACATCATACTTAATAGAGAAAAACTGAAACCATTTTCCCTAAAATCAGGAACAAGAAAAGGGTGCCCACTCGCCCCCCTCCTATTCAACATAGTCCTGGAATTCCTAGCCAGAGCAATAAGGAAAGAAGAAGTAATAAAAGGAATACAAATAGATAAACTGAAAAATACCCCTATTTGCAGACAACATGATCCTATGCCTCAAAGACCAAAAATGCACATATGAGAAAAGGAAATTAAAAAAAAACTCCTTGACACCATAAATAGCTTCAGCAATGTAGCAAAATACAAAATCAACTTACAAAAATCAGTAGCCTTTCTATACAACAATAATGAACAAATTGAGAAAGAATACAGGAAAACAATTCCAGTTACAGTAGCCTCAAAAAAATTAAAATAAGAGCACCATTACATTATATCAATATAGACGTGTTGTTTCCAGTGGGGTGTCAGAAGTATTTACACTGGGTTTATCTCCACTGGTACAGCTTTGGTGATGTTTTTTAACACAAACATTTCCTAATCTATTAACAGTAACCTAAAAAACTTAGAGAACACTCATTGCAATTCTCACAACAAATTCTAAAATGTTCGGATAATATTTTTGACAAGTGATATTGCCAATAATGTTCTTTAAATGCAAATATAGAAATGGCTATTTTCTGTTATGGTAGCTTACCTGGATACACAGTTTTGAGGGTCTGAGGTTTGCGGGGTGTCTTGCAATATATACTATTTTCTGTAACATTCAAAATATCACAGACTTGACCTGCACAGAAGCAAAATGTAGAAGTCTTACAAATGAAGTTTCAGAATGCAAATCACATCAGCTTAATTTGAAATACTTTTTTAAATAAAACAAACTCCCACAAGCAAGCGGCAAATTTGAGACGTTTTGTTTCCTTTACATGTTCTCCACCAAAGCTTCTGATTTGATGCAGGCATGGTAGTCTACATCTGTCATTCCAGCACTAGGGAAGCAGAGGCAGGAGGATCTTAAGTTTGAGGTAAGAATTGTCTGCATAGCAAGACTCAGTGTCAAAAAAATGCAAGCAAGTGTACAAACAAACAAGCTTATTGTTCATTAATAGTTGTACTTCCACAAGGGAAAATTGTACCCTGGCAAAATATCACAAGTCTGAAAATTACACAATTTCTGAGAAAAAATATGAAAAAAATGATATCTTTATAAAACATGTCACTTCCAGATACAAAGTGAGGCCTTATATTTTGCACCCTCTTCAGTTAGAATAATGGTGGGTTAGTTCAAGTTTTTCAAATGAAAACAAAAGGGACAGTAACTTTTAAGTAGCCTTTCACAGACACACTGAATATGAAAAGAGAACAATTACAACTTCTATGTAGGCACAATTAGGTTTGATGGACAAGAGTATGTTTTAGACCTCCACTTGTGTCTCAGAATTTATCACAGTCCATTAAAAGAACTAGGGAAATGGACAAGGATAATATCTTTGCCAAATTTGGTGGTCTGAAATGTGTGATCTTCATCACTACCTTTTCCTATATGAATGCCCTGTGGATTCAAGAAAATTGAACTAGAAAGCAGTAAATTTGAACAATATATTCAATGAATATCCAATTTTGGGAGGATCAAAGGAAACTCATAAACACATCACTGTTTTAAAGAAATTATTGAGGATTTCAAACCTCAAATCTGGCTGTCACATGAATGACAATGAAATATGATGGAAAACTGACATCCTTGTGGCATATCAGGAGCATCACAACAAAACAGGTACAATATCAGATCATGAAGCATGATATCTATAGCACATGGGTTTTATATAAATGTTTTTTAATAACTAAGACATAAAATTTGATCAAAAGCACATATTTTAATTCAAATATCTATGGATTTATGCAAGTAACCAGCAACGATTCACAGGAACTGGATAGCCATGGTACACGTGTTAGATGAGGTTATTTCTATCATTTCTTCTCTGCAGTAATATTGGTCAGGCTCATGAACAGGTTCCTGAAAAGGTAGAACATAACTCAACCAGAGGGCTGTAATGGGAAATGTATGTGTACAGTTACAAGGGAGGTCTCTTGTCCCCCATCCCCTGTCCATCAGGGAAGTGAGGTCATTATGACTCAGTGGGGAAAGTTTCATGGTTACATTTATCCCAAGTTCCCTTTTGAGCTGCAAAGTTCCTTATCCCTGAATAGATCTAGACCAGACATGTGTTAAGTGATGTATAAGCAAAGAACTAAGACCTATGTACATTTATAAAAAAAGATAATACATCAACTAATACTGCTTCCAAGGCCAATTTCATCAGTACTTACTAATGCACGATTGCCACAGCATATGAGAAAATTATCAGGAGAGTGTTCCAAAATATTAGATAAAATTTCTTTGTTGAGTTTTAACAACAGTTCAATAAAGGCTCTTAAGAGCTCATTACATAAAGTGCAGGTATGTCCTTAACTGTGGTGAGGGATCCGTGGGTGACAATGATGCCTGATGCCCTTTGATGCCACCCTCGGAGCTCAAGTACCAGTCACACAAGGCTAAAAAGAGTGGCCCTACCTGGAAAATCTCAGTGGGAAGAGCCTGTAGCCCCAGAACCAAATACCTATGTGAAAGTACCCAGCTTTATATTGAAAATAATAATTGTAAAAAGATTATTATTACTCTTACAAATTATTAAAAAGCACATAGGATTTGTTCTGAAGTAGAATATTAAAAATCATGGAAAATACCTCCAACAATAACTCTCACTGGGAGATCCGTCTGATCAAAGAACTGCCCACTTATTGTCAACACAGTGCCACCTTGAATGCTTCCTTTGGAAGGTGAAATCATGGTAACCTCTGGGGGAGGAAGGAGCACATTAAGTACAATGTCGTGAATATCACTGTGAATTCAGATGCTTCATTTAGAAAAGATTTCCAAATTACCCAGCCCTAGCACCTAACATTGTATAACTCCACCTTAAGCAGTATAGGCAGTGGTACCAAATGAATGACTTGGGGTATTTCATGATGTATCTAATGCAGTCCTGCAAAGAACACAATAAATATGCCCTCCACAGAGACCAGGATTTAGTGGTTACTGGTACTAAAGTGATATTGGCAATCTAGGGATTGAGGGAATAAGGAAAACTGAACTGAGCATTGATATTTACCTACAAAATAAAATATAAGAAGGTGGGTACCACACACCTCTTCTCACATGGACCCTTGAAGAATAAGTCATATTTATGGACCAACGTCTGATATCTATATTTTCTCAAATAGTAAATATGTTTAACTATAATTGATAAAATAGTCCAGTCTGTGACATATGGCAAATTCTTGGTAACTTTTTTCTCATTATTTCTACCAAAGTTCTATATATAATATTACATGTGAATTGCACATTAAATAAATTTCTGGAAAAGTCAAGATTTTTTCACACTTGATTGATTCCAGGACACACATTTTTTCACATTTTAGCATTCTTGAAATCTGAATGTGTCTCTTCATCACATCTGACCTGGGAAGAAGTACAGTTCTTCCAGGAGTATTTGTGTTTCCTTCTGAAATTCTCCTAGGGGTACTTCAACCTGAGCCCTCTTTTAAATACTTAAATTAAAATCAGCTTAAGGGTTCTCTTGGACCACACTGACTATATACATCTGAGAGTTTAAATTGACAGGGGAATTTTTTTCTCTCTCTGCACCAACAACTGCAGTTAAGACACAAGTTTTCCTGCTAGCTCTGTTAGGGTGATGAGTTTATTTTTCAATCCATTTTACATTAAGAATGCAGTTTTGAGGGCATGGGTTATTATTGAGCATCTAATTCGAGTCCTCATGGTAGGTATTTTTCCTCTCCTACTAGTGCATAAAATATTGTTCCTAGCAACCATTATTATGTTGATTTGATGAAATTTAGTATCCCTCTTATATACATACAACAAAGTGAGAAATGTCACCTACCTGCATATGTTTGAAACATGGAAATTTTATTGAGAGAAGAAACAAAATAGGCCATTTTCTGTGGTAAACTCCTATTGAAAAACAAAGTTAAAATGTCCTGATTAAAAGTTACCTTTATTTTAGAATTTCTTTGTTTTTTACTGGTATGATAGAAATTATGTCATGACTTACAAAATAGCAGGATGGAAATTTTGCGGAAAGATAAAAATGTTCCATTTCTTGATTTGTTGTTGGTTATACATTTGTCAGGACTTACTAAGCTGCACATTTCAAATATATGCATATTATTATACTCAAATCATTCCTTAATAAAGTTGATTTTAAGAAATTATATTGATAAAAAAAAACAAAACTCTGAATGGGAGAACTGCCCTTCATACACATGAGCACTTCTTTTGACTACCCCACTATCTCTCCTCTTAGAATCTTGGTGCATTCTAGGAGAATTTAGACTGAGAGATTCAATTTATTACATTATTTGATCTCTACATCTATCACATTAGATAGGTGAAAATCAAAGAACTTAACTAACCCAAAATTACAAAGTTAGTAAGTGGCAGAAACAGAATGGGAGTCCAGGGAGATTGAGTCCAGAGCCCTGGCTCCTAACCTTAGCACTATGCAGTACTCCTCCCCTGCTCACGAATTTGTTTGATAGTGTAGATGGATGAGAGCAAATTAACACCACTCCACCAGGTTTAAGCTGTTCTTAATATACACGGTCTTAATATTTTGCATATTTTTTGACAGGTACACACACTTCCAATAGCCAAGAGCACTAAGAAGGGAAAGAATCCTAAAAATTGAATGCTGTTCCTTTAAATCGCTTCAATGAAATTCATAATTAGAAAAATTAAGAGACTCAAATAAGAATTTTAAGACTCAAAACCCATTTTTCATAATTATAATAATGCACTGGAATGTAAAATATAATGTGAATGTTTGGCTGAGACCAAAAATAAATTCTCTGTAAGACTAACTCAGGAATTACAATGTGTAGTTGCAAGTCTAAAGAGTCTTGGAAATATTTTACACTAACTCAGTTATTTAAGAAGTTTATACTGATTGTGTACTTTTATTATAATCCTTTTAGCTGATTCCCAAAGATCTGAAATCATGCCAGCATATTGTGTCTGGTCACAGACAATATCTCAAAAATTAACTCTGCTTCTTAAGTTAGTGAAAAAATTGCCTCCTGAAATAAAATTTGAATGTAATTTATTTTGGATGACATTGAGGTGATTTTCACTAATTTATTGATAATGACAAGGCATTTCTCAATTAAGACAGGCTCATCTGAACCTTATCAGTTTGGAACAGCTGTCATTTGAACTTGGGGAAATAGTGGAGAGAAGGTTGGCTATTAAAAGAGATACAGAATTAGTGTGATAGTAATCTTTAATTGGTTCATTTGATATTCAGAAATGCTTCTAAAATTTGTAAAATATGAATTTTATATTTTATAAAATGATTTATTATTTTTAAAATGTCAAGTAATCTTAAACTAGGCTTTTAATTCATGAATGTCTTTTTTTTTTAAGCAATTATCTTAAATGCCTGAGACTATTTTACCCAGAAACACAATACCTCCCATTATGAGATATTAATACAAAAGGTTAGCCATTGGCTTAAAAAAGAAAAAAATTAATTATAAATCAAGATCACCCAATAATTTGAGGGAGCATTCTTGCCTATGAGCTTTGTGAATTTCTGGCATTTTTAAATGGAAATTTTCTGAGCCTGTTAAGGCAGATTGATTTATGTGTACTTAGCTACCATACTCAGCCTTGATCACCCAAATCATCTATTTTGGGATAATTATTTCTCTGAGAGACGTGATGGATTTGGCAATTAATACTTTTCACAGACTCAGAACTTAAGAATTCATTTTTCATATTAGGAAGAGTGAGAATGAGACCTTAAAAGAACCAAATATATTCTTAGAAATCATTTAAAACTCAATAATTGTTGCTTCTAAATATTTTTCTAATCTGTTTGTAAAATTATATTGCCCAACGTTAACAAGTTCTTTGTAAGTAATCCTGTCCTTGCAGAAAAATGCTGTTAAGTCATAGGGCTCTAAGTCATTTGCCACATATCAGACAGAAAGGTGTATCCTAGTACTGTTTGCTTATCTTCCACTCTGCTTTGTTCTTGAATTATACTATTCTTCATGATTTTAGTCTAGTCATAAAGTGCCCATCCCAGACATCACTTTGTTACATAAAACTCTTGTTTCTACATGTCTAAAGTAGATGGCCTCTAAATATAATAATAGCAGATTTTTTCCAACTAGAGTTGCAATTCTATGCAGGGACCTTCCTTTTCTTGCACCTTGTGAACACAGACCATGAATAATAACTTTGATTGTAGTATTTTCATTCATTTCAATTTCTAATCATTGTGTTTCTCTTCAGAGGCAGAAAACAAATCAAAAAATCTATCCCATTGTTTACCTACTACAGTTACATTACTATTGGAGACTGTTCAATGCCTGTCAATTGACTCATTTTTCTCAATGAAAGGCTCTATGAGATTTTGGGCAGAACCATTCATTTAGGTTTGGCACATCATGTTCCTGCCCATTAAAACCATTAACATACCCAGTTACTGTGACCATCAGGAAATACCCCCACAAATTTATAAACACTCCTGATCAAGCAATAACAGAGAATCCTGGACCAGGATGTTAAGGTAGTATGAAATGTGGTTTAGGCAACTGAAACCTTCCATCAGTCATGGCAGAGCGCTGGAATTAAACACTCAGGTCCTAGAGTTAGACAGTAAGCATTCACTTACTAGCACTGCTTCGACTATTGGAATGTCCTTGTACAAATTATTTAACATTACTCTCATTTGGCCAATGCGTAACTTGGAGTGGATGATAGCTCCCCTTATAGGTTCTTTGGAAGATTAAGCTAGATAGTGTATGGGAAGTGCTTACCAACCTGTTTACCTATAACTGCTCATTGCTGTTTTCTATGATATGAGTTGCAACATGTATTGAGATACGTATATTCTTATATTTCTATAAGCATAAGAAAGGCTTTTTTACTGAAATTAGAATGTGGGACATCTAAAAATGAGTTATAGTTTTATAATGAAACATAAATATAAGCTATTAACATCATCATTAAAATACACAATTAAAAACTATAAACTTTCACCTTTCACAACTACATCTTGATTTCCTAAAAGAAAACCTTTATTAGGTAACATTAGTCATAAGGTTTTATTTATTCTGATATTAGTTCAAATCAAAATTTAATTACTTTAGTTATCAAAAGAATTATAATTAAATCAGAAGATTTAAAAGACATAAAATAACACTTTTATATATCACAGTTAAAAGATTTTTTTATTGACTGATTTAGTTAATGCTAGAAGGTTATATTATGACCTTCAAGGCACAAATTATGAATGACAGTTAGGAATTCTTTAAATGTTAATTTGGAGGAAGAAAGTGATTGATTCTTTAATCTATGCATCTGTAGTGGAGAGTAAATATACACTTCATTTTATTTACTCAGTTGAATCAATTACGAAAGTTATTATTTTCAAAATGGCCTACCTTCCATAATCACTGTCTAAGATGAAGCTGACATTGTGATGACCTAGAATTAATTAAAAAAACAAGATCAATTAAATTCTCAATCATGGGAGAACAATAATTGTATATTATAAATCTGATTTAAAATAAAACTGTACTTGTACAATCACCAATAAATCCCCAAAGAAATGAAAACTGAACTCTTTCTTTAAAAGAACATACCATATAAAAATAAGGTGTTATAACTAGAAAAGCAATAACTACAAAATCTGACAAAATACAATTATGAATGAAGAATAATTAAAGAACAGATATGCTGAGATTTCTTTCACTTATTCAACAACTATGGAATTTTTTCAGACCCTCTGGTAGGGATTGAGAGATGCCATGTAAGCACACAGCGAGTCCTTCTCCTAAAACAATGTGCTGTCTAGTGGAGGGGAAAAAAACAGTTAAGAGCAATGACCTAAATAGAAAGGTAAAATGTGTGATAGCACTGAAAAGAAAAGAAAAGCGAGCTTTGAGAATTAAAGCATGGGGTCAAGGAAGTTTTTCTGAGAACTGACATTTTTTTCTGAAATTTTCAGAATAGAATATTTACAAAGCGCCTGAGGGAAGCTGGTTCAAGAATTAAAAGATCTACATATCTGGCATACACAGAACAAGGGGAAAAAACAATGTGAAATCAAGGCAATAAGTAAAATACCTAAATTAGGTATAGAATCCTCTGGAGAAAGAAAAAAGGAAAAAAAAAAGAAACTTGATGTTTGTAGGCAAGCCTTAAGAAAAAAATGAATTCATACATGTTGGCATAAAAGTAAAAAAGAAGCCAAGTGAAAGAGGAAATACTGGAAAAAAAGATCAGGGAAGGTCTAAAATATAAAACAGGGGAGGGTCAGGCATTTATGACCATTACAAAGGAAGGTGATAAGCACTTACCAATGTAAGTTCCAGTTACCTTACAAATCATAGAACCCGAGTCTCCACGTGGATGATCGAGCTTTAGACCATACCTAAAGTACATGTGCTGTGTCAAAGTTTATATTAACACTACATTTTTATTTTTTTTTTCTTAAAAACATCTCATTAACTTCAGAATATGTATCAGGATAGAAATTGTTGTTACAATTTTCATTTCTACAAAACGAAAACATATACCAGATTTCATTGAAGATAGGTAAATAAAATTTCATTAAACAATGGAATATTTTGTAATTAACTTTGATATCCCCATTAATAATTTTTTGGTGGTACCAGGGTTTAAGCTCACAGCATTCTGGATGAGTGAAACAATTATTTGATAGATATTTCTCAAAGCATCTTTTCTCATAGTAACCTAAATAGCAATTCATAGCACACTGTATTGAAGACAAAGGAGGACATGAGGAAGTAGCTAATTATATAAATGGTAATTTATCTTATAAAATATTAGAATTTTTACTATATTAGAAAGAATTTAGTTGTGCTGTATTTCTAACAATTACTATTTAAAGTTAGCATGTGTCTACCTGATATTTATTTTTACAAAGAAAATTATTTTATTTACTTACAAATCATCGGATTGTGGTATGAGAAGTTCACAAGGCATTCCTCCAATATAAACTCTGCATAAATATTTTTATTAGAAAAGATCAAGTTATACTTAGCAAACTGTTTCAAAATGTTCCCCCCACTACCACCAAACTCAATGGCCACCTTATTTTTTTTCTCAATCACTTATTGCTATCCTTCACTCATTCCTTAAACATCTATTGAATATTACTTGTGGCAGTTCCTGTTCTGAATACCAGGACACATCAGTGAATGTGGGACTGACATTCTATCAGGAAAGATTAGTAAGAATGATAATCATAACATGTTTCATGTATTAGAAGGTAATAGAAGGAAAAGAAAACATATAACAAATCTGAACTTAAAATTTAACTAATTCATATAAAAATGTAAATTTTAGTAAATTTCATACTATAGGGATTAAACAGCAGAGATCCCAAAGTTATTAGACCAAGAGGACATCTAACAGCATGAATGAAATATAAATGGGAAATAAAAAGCCAGGAAGAAGCAGGATTAGGTTTAGTGGAAACATCTATCTTTAGTTTCCTCCGTTGACCAAGCCTTCTGACCCATCACATTAAGCCCAATAGAAGCTGGTATTATTGGAGACTTGCAGGTGACTGGCATAGACTTTGCAAAACCAGAATCAACCTTATAGCTTCTGTGACAGCCAACCCCAGAATCCAAAGAAGGCCACCTACAAACCTGAACTATAAAAAATATGACTTCTGTTTGCAGAAAATTCTGATCTTTTTAGTAAGTTTTCATACACAAGTCCTTCCATTTATCATTCCATTAGATTTGTAAAGCAAGTAAACAGAATTATTGTACCCATTAGAAAGATACACTGATTCAAAGTCTTGTAACCTCCTGCCTTATTCCAAGTAAATAATAAATTTAGCAGCTAACTCTTACAGGTTCTTACTAACTACATTTAAGCCTTGTAATCATCCTGATTTAGTAACTATTATTATCCTTTCACATTACAGATGAAGAAACTGAGGCAGAGAAGTTAAGTAGCTTGGCCCAGCCTACAGCAAGTGGGGGACAGAGCAGGAATTCAAATCCAGACAGTCTATGCTCTTACCCACACTTACAAATTCCCACAGTGGTAAAGGCATACCTATCCATGAGAACACTATCCTATTTGGCCTTAAACACATATCTTAGAATGTTCCTCACCTAACTGTTTAGGTCAAGAGCTCCTCAATAAGCACTAGATCCTCTACTGATTTGCATGTCCTGTATAACTTGTACCTGGTCTGGATATAGAAATTTGGCTGAATGGATATGATGTGGGAAGTAGAATGCCTCTGGCTTCCTGCTCAGTGCACAGCCCTTGCTCTCAATTACCTGCTGATGGAACTCAGGGGCAATGAAATGCCCTGGGAGGCCTAGCATCATAATTAATATGGTGTAAATGAGATGAATGAGTTTCTGAAAACTTCACATCCTCCCACGAACAGGTGAGTGAAAAAATTTCCTAGGTTTATACATAAAATTTTGGGATTTCCAGAGATCAAGGGCTGGGTAGACTGATCCTCTGAGGTCCCTTCTGACTGATACTGTGATTTCAGGAAATAAGTTTCATTGATTCCCTGTTAGGGAACAGAAGTAAATTTTACCCACACTAGGGAAAAAAAGAATTCCTTTTTGAAAGTTAAACTTTCTATGTACAGGCATCGTTATGGAAAATGATAAGTGAGAAAACCCCACATAAGAATTAGACTATAAACCACCATAGCATTCATCTATATACTAGGGTCTTTACTTAGAATAAATTGCACATACAAAATGTTATTTTCTAGTAGTTACTTTATTACACGTAAGGAATCAATATGAACATTTTCACATTATAGCTGTGTACAAGTATGATTCAATTGAGAGTTCTGCCTCAGAGTAGCCCAGATTAATCACATTTATTTCATTTAGAAAAACATTTAAAATTGTTTATTTTACAAAATTTTATATATGTGGTATATAACCTTTTTAGTATTTAACAAATCTGTAATTGTTGTCGAAATTGTTCAATTCATGCATTCATTTGTTTCAGGCAAGTATTCAGTAAGTGTGAAGCATTTTGAAAGCCAGGATACAGAGTCCATGCTTCCTTCGTAGGAAGTTAACAGGGGCTCTCAGTCTGCTAAATTAGGCTGACATAACCCTATCTGTGCTACAGAAGGATGCTCTAGTGACAGTGTTAGTTTCCAATCCAAAATGTGAACAATTATTTTTTTTTCTGTTAGCTAACTCTACATCTGGCCCAAAGCTGGTAAATAGAGGAATTAAAATTCAAACCCTAGCCTGTGAATAAGTTATTGGCTGTGTTTGGTTTTAGCACTCTTCATTCACCACATTACAGTAGAAAAAGTGCTAAATGGTGTATAAGAGGTTTAGGTTCTACTCTTGACCTTGACTGAGCTATGTGAGTTCCAGGTGTTAGGTATTCTTTAATATATAAAATGAGGCAGTTAGATTAAGTAATGAAGTCCTCCATTAATAACAGTTCTATGACTCTAATTCAGTTGCTATTGGATTTGGCTCCATGTGCTTTCTATTACTTAAATCCATCACAGAAAAAGAAGGAAGTACGTCAGATCAGAAAAGAGAGTCACATTGACCATAGTTTCGTGTCAATGAGTCGATCAATAATCTTTTTTTCTTCCATAATATCACTGAAAAACTCCTGGTTACTCCCATACCATTGTAGAGAGTTTTAATCATTGAACCCATAAGTTTTTGAAAACCATATGTCATTTATGAGTTATAAGAACATATTTCAACATCAAAAAATTACCTCAAAATCCTCACATTTTTTCCATTGGAGCTCAGTGCAGTGTTACTTCCATAGACATCAGTGAAAATTCTGCCTTGGATTGTTATTAGTGTACCTAAAAGAAAAAAAAAATACTCAAAAAGGTTCTCATAAAAATATCTATCTGAACACTTAATTCCAAATATACTAGAAAAATTCCCAATAAAATAAGAATCCAAGTGCTTATTTCTGATGGTCAACACTGTTATTCAGAATTGGTCTGGAATTTCTAACAAGTATAATAAAACATGAATGAGTAAGTATCTTTAAGTATTTGTAGATTAATGAGCTATCATGGAAAACAGGATGAGTTATTTAATAAATAGTGTTTGGGTCAATGAGTAATTTATTTAAAAAGAAAAAAGAGTCTTACTTTATACAAAAAATCTTAATTGAAATAAAAATTAAATATAAAAACCAGGCATTGTGGCCTATAATTCCAGCACTCAGGAGGATTGTGAATTTGAGGCCAGGCTGGGATACATAGCAAAATCCTCCCTCCCAAATGCAGGGATTACAGGTGTATGCCATTATATCTGGCAAAAACTTCTTGAAAATAAAAGGACATGCTCACATACTTCTTTGGGATTATGAGCTGGTCTAATAATATTTTCATAATGAATACTTGAAGCTAGGTAAATGTCCAGCAGAGGGAAAATAAGATACATTATAGTAGATTAATTCAATCTTTGAAAAAATTATTTTAAAATTGGCAATTATTTTTAAAATAAGAAAATTATATATACTTATAAATTTTCATATAAATTATTATAATAATTTTATATATTAAAAAGTAAATAAATTACCACAAAACCCAAAATTTTCAGTTGTCATAGAACAAACCTGGAGTCCCAGATAAAGGTGTGATTCTCCTTATTATTGGAGTCCTGAAACGTTTTGCCTGTAAAAAAATAATATGGATAGGCAGTCTCTTCTATTTTGATTCTAATTTTATGGAGTAAGTCTATTTCTAAGGTTATATTTCAATAATGTCCATAACATGATTGTCAAAATATTTCTTCTGACATAAGAAATAAACTTTACAATATTTTCTTATTATTCAAGAACTTTTCTCATACCCTAAAAATTCTTCCATTTCACAATATTGTTAGCCTGAAATTTTAAAATTTAATTGTCTCCATTTAATAGATAGTGAAGAACCTACACAATCTCACTATGACCAAGTCACTGCTCATAAACAATGAAGCCTCTATTTGAACCTGAACCACAGTATTAAGCAGCTTTACACCTGACAAACCCAGTGGTGGAAATATCTTACTCACTTCTGTTTTGGGGAATTTTAAGGCTCCTGAGTAATGAGAAATAACTCACTGAAGAGAACTGAGAACATTGCATGAGTCCTTAAGGAAAATGCTAGAAGTTGCTGTTGGAACCTGACTTGGATCCTGACTGTCATAAAACAGAGAAAGCTTACAGACCATGGTGAAGAGGAATGAGTACTAAATGATTTCTAAGTAGGGAAAGACAATAGCATTCGTGATTTTCCAGGGTAACACTGACTCTATACGAGAAGAATAGAGATAGTGGGGGTGCTCTTACCAATGTACAATGTAAGCCTGATCAGAACTGTCACAATGAATCCCCTGTACAACAAATGTATCCTAATAAAAAAATTTTAAGAATAAAAAAAGAATAGAGAGACCTAGTCGAAGGTTATCATGATAACCTCTTGAGAAATCACAAAACCAATATCAAAACAAAGGCCATAAAGAAAAGAAAACAAGAAGATCAACTTAATCAGGGCACTGGTGGCTCATCCCTGTAAGCCTAGCTACTCAGGAGGCAGAGATCAGGAGGATTGCAGTTCAAAGCCAGCCTGGGCAAATAGTTTGCAGTGAGATGAGACCATATCGAAAATACTCAAAACAAAAAAGGGCTGGCAGAATAGCTCAATTAGTAGAGCTTGCCATGAAGCCCAGAGTTCAAACCTCAGTACCATCAAAATAAAAATCAACTTAAGAGCAAATTCAGAGGGTAGGATCACCACAGATTGGCTTCTGAAGAGCTAGGGACTGAAGGTGACGACTAGGGAGAAACCAAGGATGGGAATAAGCTTCTAGGTGGAGATGGGGAGAACTAATAGGAGAAGTCGGCTTAAGAAGGAACACAAGAAGTCCCTTTGAAGTTTGCTGAATTTAGGTTGTTTTGGAGACATTTAGATATGACATAAAAAGGAAAGAAAGATTAGCTCCACATGTAGGGAAAGAAAGGGAACCAGAAGTGTCTGGGAATCTTCTGGAGAGCAGAAGTCATTTCTGTTTTCCTCAGCATTTCACTTTCACTGGGACAGTGTGGTGTTCAGTAACTGACAACTTAAACTCTAAATACAATTTTTATGAATATATGAGATGGTGCTTAGAATAAAATTTGTTTTTATAAATACATCTACTTAGAGCAATTAAATTTAAGTGCTATCAGCAGGCTCAATACATAATGAATTATATAGGAAGGAAGAGGAGCTATGTTTCTGTTTAAATTGAAGTGTTGAAACCTATGAAAATACATAAAGAGCAAATCAAACTAAGAGCAGAAAAGGAGAAACAGGAAAAATGGTGTGAACAAGAAAAAAATTTGGAACCATGAATATTTAATTATTTAATAAAATTAAAGGTGGGTAAGACAAACCAGAAGTAAGAGAGATTCAATTACTATAGAAGACTGTTGAAACTAAGGCAATTGTCCTTAGCTACATGCTAATGTATTTTTAATGTGAAAAGAGATAACAATCTATAAAATTAAAAAGACAAAAACTCAGTTCTGTAAAAAAGAAAATGAGCTCAATTATGTATAAATTGCAGAGGTGATCCCACATACACTGAAGCTGCATGCCCAGCTGTTGCTATGACCTTTGCAGGTGTTATTTTCAGAAATGGGAATCCCATCCACACTGACTCTAACAGTGTAGGAATCTTCTGGCATTGCTCTGTAAAGTAAATAAAGAGCTCATGAGGCATGCAATAACTTTTATTTAATACATAGTAATAATTAAAAATACTGTCCCAGAATACATGTCACTTGGGAAAATAAAACTGTCTAAGCTCTAATTGACATACAGTTAAATTTCATTTTAAATTTAAAAAACTCCATCCTGAACCATGCTATATTGCAAATTCTAATATCACATTGCTCAGGTAAATGCCTAGTCTAATAAGCATCTTGATGCTTAATTAAAGAAGACAACAAATAAAATAACAACAAGCAATAATAATCATCTAAAATGCTAGCATCAACCTGATGTATATGCAGTTACTTCATGCTGTGCTTTTTATAAGATATTAACCAGGTTTCCACTTAAGTAAGCAGTTGAAAAAGAGCCAGCAAGCTTAATGTGGGAAGCAGTCCTCTAAAATATGTACTACGTGTTTCTAAAGTCAATAGTGAAAGCTGCAATTTAAAATGATTTAAATTTTTTCCTAAGTTGCTAGTAACACATATCCATTTGGGCTGATAGCAAAGAACTTGAGATGTCACCATACAAAATGGTCATCTTTAATCTTAATAACTATGTGAAGATTTTAAACAAAAATAATCAACTGGATAGGAAAACATGATTTTGGTATTTGGAGGCACATCATTACATTTTAATAGCAGCCATTTGTCTCCTAAAAGAGTTCAGTGATGATTAGATAATTGCTCTAGATATAGGGTCTACTTTTATCATGCCAATATGTGAAAAGAGCATTACAATGGAATACAATAAGGGTATAAAATAGTCTAGATATCATGAAATAAAAAATAATAAGCAGGGGCCAGAAAAAATATTACCCATAGTAGACAAAGTGATAAAACTATTAAAAACCAATGTGCTTAACTGATTTCTAGCATGACAAAAATGATGTTACTAAAGATACATTAAAACAGACCTAGTGTAGCATGTAATTTGAGTTGAATGACTTGAATCTTTTTCTACATCACACGTAACTGACTGGAAAGAAGAAACTAATTGCACATTGTTTCCCAACTCAGTGTTGTCAACTCCATAGTTAAACTGGTTTGCTTGAGAAAAACCTGAAAAAGTAAGAAAATTCAATTATTAATAATGGCATACTATTTTCAAAGATCTAACAATTATAACTCAGTATCAAATCATTCAGTAAATAACAATGAATAGTACCGAAGTAAGCAGTTAGCCTATTTCATATTTAACCCTAAGATTATAAACTTTGAAGCACAAGATTATCTTTTAATTAATATATTCATGAACACAGTATCGGAGAGGAACATTATTTTATCAGGGATGGGGTCTTTAAGAGTTCCTGTAAAGCAGTTGGAGGTAAGAACTTGCAAGCAGAGAGTTTATGTAAGCAGTAAACACTTAGGGAAAAGGTAGAGTAAAACTTGAAAGAAAGAAAATCTGTAGACCTTTGAGGACTACTGGGTTTCAGTCTTGCTGAGAATTTCTAAGGGAGATATAGAATGCCTCTCTGAAAAAGAATCAATAGTAAGGTCCCCACTGGGCTGTACATGGGTATATGTTATTTGGGTTCTAATGTCTTAAGTCATTTCACCAGGGAAGTCCTTGGATAGTCGACAAAGACATGCTATGGGAACTTAAAGCAAGAAGCTGGAGGCATAGGTTAAAACACAGTACACCAGAAACTATTTTTCACAGCTATAACTAGAACAAGAAGATATGGTAAGGACAAAACGATGTGAGGTTGAGTACTGAAGACATCTGATATAGTCTACCCCACATAACACACATGTCTGGTTATGCCCCACATTTGGTTTGGTTTGGTTTTTAAGACATAATGTAACCCATGATGGCCTGGAACTCTCAATCTCGTGATTTCATCCCCCTGAGTGCTGAGATTATAAGTGTATACCAGCATGCTCTACATTTTAAGCAGAATTCATCACCAAATCTTCAAAGCACAAATCATCAGCATCTGAGGGCTCTGCTAAATACACAGCATTAGTGTTATAAGCTACAGAACACACTGCTATATCTGGTCCTGTGTCTATAATTAATATTTACCACCCATTACAGGATTTCACTTATCTTTAGGCAGCACTGGAGCTAACCGGGGTGACACTGGCCTTCATTCCTGAGCGGTCTGAACTGTAAGTTTTGCTTTGCCATTGTGGGGTTGTGGTTTCTACAATTGCCTATTCAGTTATCACTGAACACGGAAGCCAAGAAATGCTCCTACGAATACCCTAAATTCCAGAGCTACTCCTCCCTATCTGCACTAAATGAAAACAACATTACTTCCTCATGATAAGCTACATTGATTATTTCTATTAGTATACTCAAAATGCTTGACATGGTCATTTCACTTCAGTTCACAACTCCCCATAGTGATCCCAGTGAATGCCCTTTTTACCTGGAAACTCAGACCACAAATCTAGTATAACCTAAGGTTGAAAGGATAGATAATACAAATGCAATTTGTGGATCACTGAGCATGGTGATGAAGGGGAGACTCATTATTTCCTGCTCCATGCATTCTATCTATGGGGAATCATTGGTGTTATCTGCCATTTATTCAATGCACATTCCATAGGATGGAGAAGAACACGCCACTCCAAGGATGCTATTCCCAAGTGGCATCATGGCCATGGCTTCAGAAGGCTCCTCCACCCAAATGTAACAAATGTAGGCCAAATGTAGCAAAGTGACACAGATTGCATGGTCATGGCCTGTTATCATAAATTTTCACTATAAAATGAGTTCCTTGTTCAGAGACAATATTTTCCAGAATCTCATAGAAATAAATTAGTTTCGGTAAGCTCTCAGAAGGTACAAAAAGGAAAAACCCATATTTGGAGCAGGTATCAGTTCCAGTAACAAGGAGCTGCTCTTTCTATGAGGGAAGGGGAGTGATGCAGTCAACTTGTCAATAAGTAGTTGGGTGCATTTCCTGAGGGTGGTGCCATCCTGAGAGCTGAGGGTTGCTCTCTGTTAATGGTAGGCTAAGTTTTCAGTGATAGCCTCAGTGAAAGCAAATACATGGTGTTACCAGGCACAGCTTCCACCCCATGGCCATTCTTCATGAGTCTACTACACAAACACTGAGTTGGCCAAAGAGAGAAGCTCTAGTGTGAGTCACCTAAACAACCAGCTTTCCCACTTCTCTGAGGGGGATGCTCCCTAATTAGAGTTAACTTAACACCACAGATCTGCATGCTTTGTTCTCACCACCATCAGCCCCCTTACTTGCCCATTTCTAAGACTGTCATCCAATCCTGCTCTTCTCAACCCCTGACTACTCACCTGCCACTGCCAAGCATCCCAGGTGTAGCCTTACCTTGAACCAATTCCCCCCCATATAGAGAAGTGACTATGCATACTGCTCATAGCTCTGCCTACCAGGAAGGCTGACAATGGAAAGAGCATCAAGAGATCAGATTGACCTCGAAGCGTTTATGATTGAAATCAGAGATGGTGCCATGGAAGATGTGAAGTGAGACCCAGGAGGCATAAGATGCAGGTAATCATGGAAACTTTTCAGAAGGAGTAAGCCAGTAAAGTATCTAAGGAAGTGCATTTTAGTTCAAGGGAACAGCATATGCCATGGCCCTGAGGTGAGACCATGTTTCTGGATTCAAGAAATAGCAAATGTGGTTAGAGAAGGATGAGTAAGGAGAAGTGGTAAGAAGGAGACCAGAAATAGAGGAACTTAAATTATGTTTATGAATGGGGAACCTCTGGAGGCTTTGAAATGGGGGAGCATCATGATCTGGCTTGTATTCTATAAGGTTCACTTGCTGCTGTTCTGAGAATAGACTGGGTTCAGGAGTGAAGATTATTTTCAGTGAACAATGGGAAAAATGAATGGCACAGATATTTGAGAAGATTGAAGAATAATTACTGGTAACATCATTCAGGAATTTTATTATGAAGGGAAGCAGAGAACCAAGGTGGTAGCTGAGAGGCTGGGGCAAGAGGAAGGTTAATGATTTTGCTTTTACTTTTTTTCAGGTGGATGAAACAAGAGTATGATGGTGTGCTGATGATGGGTATGACCCAAAAGAATTCAACAAGTGGCTACAATAAAACAGCAGAAAATTATTTTAATGGAAAGTCAAAACTACAATTAGAAGTAAACTTAGATCAAGTATTTTATGCCACAGAAAAATATTAAATATTTTTAAATAAACCCAAGAAAATTAAATCTTACAATTAAATAATCTCCTAATAAAAATGTTAAGGATATAGTTATACTATTCTAGTGTGCAAAGTAATTATACACATCTATGAAAATGTCATAGTATATTTTATATGGTTAAATTAGTAAACAGCTTTTACCTGATGACTTTAAAATTTAAAATTCCTGTATCCCAAGTTTTTAAACTATGTACATTTAGATATTTTTCATACACCATAACCAAATCGATTTCATTCCAGTGATGAAAGGATGGGCCAACATACGTAAATCTATAAATGTAATACAGCACATAAATAGATGCAAGGACAAAAACTACATGATACTCTCAATAGACACAGAAAAAGCCTTTGACAACATTCAGCACTCTTTCATGGTAAAAGCTCTGAAGGAACTAGGAATAGAAGGAATGTTCCTCAACACAATAAAGGCTATATATGACAAACCTAGAGCCAACTGAAACTGTTCCCTTAAAGTTAAGAATGAGACAAGGCTGTCTGCTTTGTCCACTCCTATTAATTATAATTTTGAAATTCCTAGCCACAGCAATAGGACAAGAGCAAGAAATAAAAGGGATTTAAATAGGGAAAGAAGAAGCCAAACTATCCCTATTTGTAGATGACATGATCCTATACCTAAAAGTCCCCAAACTTCAACTAGAAATCATAAACTCTTTTGACAAAGTAGCAGGATACAAAATTAACATACAGAAATCAGTAGCTTTTCTGTACACCAATAAGGCACAGACTGAGAAAGAAATCAGGGAAATAATCTCATTTATGATAGCCTCAAAAACAATAAAGTACCTTAGAATAAATTTAACATGAGAAACCAAAGACCTTTTTAATGAAAACTGTAAACAATTGAAGAAAGAAATCAAAAAAGGCTTCAGAACATGGAAAGACCTTCCATATTCATGGATTGGTAGAATCAACTTTGTGAAAATGCCCACACTACCAAAAGCAATCTATATGTTCAATACAATCCCTATCAAAATTCTATGACCTTCTGCACAGAAATATTAAAAGCAATCATGAAATACATATGGAAACACAAAAGACCTCGAATAGCCAAAGCGATTCTGAGCAAAAAGTCCAATACCTGATCTCAAACTATACTACAGAGCTGTAACAATAAAAACAGCATGGTAATGGCACAAAACAGACAAGGATACTAATAGATCAGAATAGAAGATCCATATATAAACCCACCATCTACAGCCAACTGATCTTTGAAAAAGGAGTCCAAAATACACAGTGGAGAAAAGACAGCCTCTTCAACAAATGTTGCTGTGATAACTACATATCACATGTAGAAGACTGAAACTATATTCCTGTCTTTCACCCTGTGCCAAAATCGACAAAAAGTAGATCAAAGACCTTAATATAAGGCCTGAAACTTTAAAACAATTCCAGGAAGGAGTAGGAAATACACTAAAACAGATAGGTATAGGGAACGACTTCCTAAACAGAACTCGAAAGGCTCAGCATCTAAGAGAAACAATTAACAAATGGGACTTCATTAAAGAGCTTCTGCAGAGCAAAAGAAACAATCACCAGACTCAAGAGACAGCACACCATATGGGAGAAAATCTTTGCCAGCTACTCATTCAAGAAGGGTTTAATAACCAGAATATACAGGGAACTCAAAAAACTCAGCTCCCAAAGAATCAACACCCCAGTGAAGAAATGGGCTATGAATTAAATAGGGAATTCCCAAAGAAAGAGGTACAAATGGCCAGTAAATACACGAATAAGTGTTCAAGTTCCCTAGTTGTAAAAGAAATGCAAATCAAAACAATACTTATATTTCATCTCACCCCAATTAGAATGGCCAGAATCAAGGGTAATAACAACAACAAATGCTGGCAAGGATGTGGAGAAACAGGAACCCTCAGTA